CATAACAGGACCTGATTTTTTAAACACATATTCCAAGGATAAAATGGAGGGAGTGTTCGTTGCTAATATCACTATTATTTTTTGTGAATATATTTTTGAAATTATATATATATATATATGTGTGTGTGTGTGTGTGTGTGTGTGTGTAAAGGAAGAACTGTTTTAGAGGATAATACACGTGACATTATGCAATGGAAATAAAGATAGATGTCAAAATTAGGGCACATTTTATGTGAACATGAGTATTCGTCAAGGAGGTTACACTTTTCTAAGAGATGAACTTTTCCACTAGTTATTTCTCGTCTCGGTCTCTTAGATTTGTACGTACATTTATCTTTTGATACTTATTTCATTTTGAAAGAACTTGTGGACTAATACATGCGTTTTTAGTGCTTAAACCCATTCTGAGAATGTCCTTACGTAAGATGCGTCGTATTGAGATTTCTAAATGATTTAGTTTTGCTATATTTTTCTTATTCGCTAGTGCCGTCAATCGATCATTAACGTGTTCTAAGGGAAGTAACTCCAACATAATAATGAATTAACGAATGAATTGGTGTTAGTGACGTCAACCCTTATATTTAGGACCATTTCCTACAATGATAATTTCATATAAAAACATTAAGAAAGGACTGAAACATTTACTTGCATTCCCATGGAATGAAGAGATCGTATAAGCAAATTAGCTGAAATTAATAAACTTTATTTGATTTCTTTTAATAATAAATAGATAAATAAAATCAATTTTATTTGAAGTGATTTTATTGATGCAATGAATTAAGAAATGATTTGTCTATATATGCGTTTTAGCCCCAATCTTTTATTATTATTATCATTAAGCCCATTCCGACATCAAATGTCAAAGTTTCATAAACAGGCATATCTATGTTTTGGCATAAAAGTTGTCGCCATCGTGTACTATATCAACAAAGTGTAATTATTTAATATCAAACAAACTCTCAGTGTGGATATACATTTATAATTCAAAATAGTACGAGAAAAGTTACCGTTTTCATAACACTAGTATACAAATGGATCGGACACGGGTTATCACAACTTATCAATGTCCTCTCCATAACACTAGTATACAAATGGATCGGACACAAGTTATCACAACTTATCACTGTCATCTCCATAACACTAATATACAAATGGATCGGACGCAGGTTATCACAACTTATCAATGTCCTCTCCATAACACTAGTATACAAATTGACCGGACACGGGTTATCACAACTTATCAATTCCCTCTTCGTGGTACTAATATACAAATACAAAGCATGGCAATGACTTTACAATAATCAGTACAAAGGATATGTTACAAGGTTTTAGATTTTTTTAGAACAAAAGAAGAAACAGAAAAATAGAAAAGGGAGGCAGAAATGGAAAAGAAATATTTAGGAGACAACAACTAGGCAGATGACCTTTGTTCAGAATATAATTTTACACGTAGATATGTCAGTATTTCCTTTGTTTAGAATATTATTTTACCTGTAGATATGTCAGTATTTCCTTTGTTTAGAATATTATTTTACCTGTAGATATGTCAGTATTTCCTTTGTTTAGAATATTATTTTACATGTAGATATGTCAGTATTTCCTTTGTTCAGAATATTATTTTACATGTAGATATGTCAGTATTTCCTTTGTTTAGAATATTATTTTACCTGTAGATATGTCAGTATTTCCTTTGTTTAGAATATTATTTTACATGTAGATATGTCAGTGTTTCCTTTGTTCAGAATAACCTGTAGATATGTCAGTATTTCCTTTGTTCAGAATATTATTTTACCTGTAGATATGTCAGTGTTTCCTTTGTTCAGAATAACCTGTAGATATGTCAGTATTTCCTTTGTTCAGAATATCATTTTACCTGTAGATATGTCAGTATTTCCTTTGTTTAGAATATTATTTTACCTGTAGATATAGTGTTTCCAGAATGTATATTTCCTTTGAATTTAGAGTGTTTCCTTTATTTTACCTGTAGATATGTCAGTGTTTCCCAGTGTTTCCTTTGTTTAGAATATTATTTTACATGTAGATATGTCAGTATTTCCTTCGTTCAGAATAACCTGTAGATATGTCAGTGTTTCCTTTGTTTAGAATATTATTTTACCTGTAGATATGTCAGTATTTCCTTTGTTTAGAATATTACTTTACATGAAGATATGTCAGTGTTTCCTTTGTTCAGAATATTATTTTACCTGTAGATATGTCAGTGTTTCCTTTGTTTAGAATATTATTTTACATGTAGATATGTCAGTGTTTCCTTTGTTTAGAATATTATTTTACCTGTAGATATGTCAGTGTTTCCTTTGTTTAGAATATTATTTTACCTGTAGATATGTCAGTGTTTCCTTTGTTTAGAATATTATTTTACCTGTAGATATGTCAGTGTTTCCTTTGTTCAGAATAACCTGTAGATATGTCAGTGTTTCCTTTGTTTAGAATATTATTTCACCTGTAGATATGTCAGTGTTTCCTTTGTTCAGAATAACCTGTAGATATGTCAGTATTTCCTTTGTTCAGAATATTATTTTACATGTAGATATGTCAGTATTTCCTTTGTTTAGAATATTATTTTACCTGTAGATATGTCAGTGTTTCCTTTGTTAAGAATATTATTTTACATGTAGATATGTCAGTATTTCCTTTGTTGAGAATATTATTTTAGAATATTATTTTACTGTAGATATGTCAGTGTTTCCTTTGTTTAGAATATTATTTTATTTTACCTGTAGATATGTCAGTGTTTCCTTTGTTTAGAATATTATTTTACCTGTAGATATGTCAGTGTTTCCTTTGTTTACCTGTAGATATGTCAGTGTTTCCTTTGTTCAGAATACCTGTAGATATGTCTGTAGATATGTCAGTGTTTCCTTTGTTCAGAATAACCTGTAGATATGTCAGTGTTTCCTTTGTTTAGAATATTATTTTACCTGTAGATATGTCAGTGTTTCCTTTGTTCAGAATAACCTGTAGATATGTCAGTGTTTCCTTTGTTTAGAATATTATTTTACCTGTAGATATGTCAGTGTTTCCTTTGTTTAGAATATTATTTTACCTGTAGATATAGATATTATTTTACCTGTAGATATGTCAGTATTTTCTTTGTTTAGAATATTATTTTACCTGTAGATATGTCAGTGTTTCCTTTGTTTAGAATATTATTTTACCTGTAGATATGTCAGTGTTTCCTTTGTTTAGAATATTATTTTTGTAGATATGTCAGTGTTTCCTTTGTAGATATGTCAGTGTTTCCTTTGTTTAAAATATTATTTTACATGTAGATATGTCAGTGTTTCCTTTGTTTAGAATATCATTTTACCTGTAGATATATCAGTATTTCGTTTGTTTAGAATATTATTTTACCTGTAGATATGTCAGTATTTCCTTTGTTTAGAATATTATTTTACCTGTAGATATGTCAGTATTTCCTTTGTTTAGAATATTATTTTACCTGTAGATATGTCAGTGTTTCCTTTGTTCAGAATAACCTGTAGATATGTCAGTGTTTCCTTTGTTTAGAATATTATTTCACCTGTAGATATGTCCGTGTTTCCTTTGTTCAGAATAACCTGTAGATATGTCAGTATTTCCTTTGTTCAGAATATCATTTTACATGTAGATATGTCAGTGTTTCCTTTGTTTAGAATATTATTTTACATGTAGATATGTCAGTGTTTCCTTTGTTGTTATTTCCTTTGTTTAGAATATTATTTTAGAATATGTCAGTATTTCCTTTGTTTAGAATATTATTTTACCTGTAGATATGTCAGTGTTTCCTTTGTTCAGAATAACCTGTAGATATGTCAGTATTTCCTTTGTTCAGAATATTATTTTACCTGTAGATATGTCAGTGTTTCCTTTGTTTAGAATATTATTTTACCTGTAGATATGTCAGTGTTTCCTTTGTTTAGAATATTATTTTACCTGTAGATATGTCAGTATTTCCTTTGTTTAGAATATTATTTTACCTGTAGATATGTCAGTGTTTCCTTTGTTTAGAATATTATTTTACATGTAGATATGTCAGTGTTTCCTTTGTTTAGAATATTATTTTACCTGTAGATATGTCAGTGTTTCCTTTGTTCAGAATATTATTTTACCTGTAGATATGTCAGTGTTTCCTTTGTTTAGAATATTATTTTACATGTAGATATGTCAGTGTTTCCTTTGTTCAGAATAACCTGTAGATATGTCAGTGTTTCCTTTGTTTAGAATATTATTTTACATGTAGATATGTCAGTATTTCCTTTGTTTAGAATATTATTTTACATGTAGATATGTCAGTGTTTCCTTTGTTTAGAATATTATTTTACATGTAGATATGTCAGTGTTTCCTTAGAATTAAATAGAGATTTTGATGACATTGATTCTGATAGTAATACAAACTAGCTGATTGCCGATGTTAGGAAATTCATTCCGAATTCTTACTATATACCGGTTAATCCTTCAGGAATTAGATAAAAAAATCCCTCTAATACTAAAACTTACATGTAAATATTGACTGAACCATTGCAATGCGTTCAACAGCTCTTTTCCTGCTTAGCGCAAAATACATTTCGTCCTGAGTGAGTATAAGTGGTTTGTTAAATAGAATCTAAATCACATCCTCTCTCATTCACAATGTTGATTCTTCAATGGCTTTGATGAGCATGGAAAACATCTTTCTCAAGAAAGGTTTTCTTAGTCCCCGAAATCATGGCACCGATATACCGGCATTATAAATAAAACAACCTAACTACGACATAAAGTGAAAATACCATAAAACACATGGGGAGACAATCCAAAAATGTCATTGACTATGTGCCGTTGAAAGGACCATAAGAGTTAATTGAATATTAATTGAAAACAAATCCCATAAAGCACATGTTAACTAAAACACATTTCATTGACTAGGATATTTTAAATAAACACATCAGTGATCAGGATAACCGGAAACCCAAAACTAAACTAGCTAATTCCTCTAAGATTATGATTTATAAAAGTTAAACGCGTCAATGACTTGGACATAAATATGACATAAGCACTTGTGCCAAATCCATTTGAACATCCTCTGAAGGATGCACGTTGACGTTTTCTGATCCAGCCGTCATATCCCACCAGTCAAGATAAACAATCTTATCGTGAAATCCTTCCAATTCTTCATACCAAATTTGGCTGTAACATCTTCGTATGTAATCAAGCGGTTCCAGGACAGCTTTATAGGTGATTGAATGAGGACCTTGTATAAAAACAACTGTGTCAGGAGCTCTATTCCATAATCTTATCAGAGCTGCGCGCGCATCCTTGACCATGGCTTTATACACGTCAATGGTGGCTTTCGTCAAGTGATAGTAAAAGTGAATGACCACAACTAATGGCCGGTCAGTCGCTATTTCGTCTAACCAGGATCCTACTGACCGCATAGTGTCTAGTGTCTGAAAATCCAAAACAAACAATGGAGCATTATGCGGAGCCCACATTAGTTCCAAATTTAAGTCACTGTTGTCAGCCTCTAAGAGTTCATGCCAGTGGTCTCCCTTTCTATATTTTGATGTTTTAAACGTCGACCTTGATAATGTGACTAGCTGTACGAATGTCCCTCTACTGTTGGAATCTCCTAACACAACAAAGTGTTTGTTTTTAAAACATGACGTATAACTTCCGGACCGGAACTTTGGTGTACAGTGTAGGTTGACCCACTGGTTGTGAAAATAGTATCCTGCAGGGTTGGAATCTTCCCAAGTGTCAACTCGGGGCCGATCATAGCATGTGACGGATGGAGATTTCAGACTTGATACCTTACCTGTAAAACAAGAAGAACTGAACCTTCAAACACAAATAGAGTTCAATTATCAAAAAAATGTTGAGTTTCCAAGATATTTCGGAAAACGTTGACATGACAGGTGCGTTGTATGAACATCTGATGTCACATAGAACAAAGCATATCTGACTTCCTTTTGGATGACGAATTTACAATGCATTCATAAAAAATGAATGATACAAAAATCACATTTATATTTATATTTTTGCATATATAAAATTGTGTTTAGATTGATCTGTATTAAGTCAAGCGTCTGTTTATAGATATAATATCTTAAAAGATTTGTCATTTTATACGCTACTTTATTGCGAGAAGAAATTTAGAAGTTTTTTTTCTAGCTTTAGAACGTCTGCAAAACACGCCCTCTCATTCAAACGCTCTACTGTTAACCATTATGACTTGCGTTTCAATTTGAGAATTGCAGACGACAGCTCTATTTAATTATCATTGTCATTGTACTTTCTAAACATGATTTTACATTATTTCTTTTTCATGTTGGCAGACAATGAGTTTGTCTGTCTTGTGTTATTGCAAATAAAAAATATTGACAACTTTATCGCAGTTTTATTACATGTAGTTTGTCTACAGTTATTACGTCTTGGTTAATATGACCATGTTTTGGGTTTATAGATCTGGATATCGACATGAAGGCAAAGACTATAATTGTATAACACTTGTTTATAGTTTCAATTATACAATAATTATTTTGCTTCCATTTTATGTACAGTGTAATAATTCTTACCACAGATCATCTCAACTCACTTCAATACGAAACGAGAAAAACGAAAGCCACGAAAATAACAGAACACGATATACGAGAAAGCTATAAAAGTCAAAATAAAACTGAGGACGAATTAACGCCTCCCCATAGATATACAGCAATACAGTGTATATACATAAATAAAACGTTCATCTTGACGTTCCCGTAATAACTATCCATGTACATGCATATAAGTCGCCAGTGGTCACGGGCCGCGTTCAATCAGATACCAAGCAGAAATCACGTCGCTTTTAATGGAAAAGATAAGCGAACTACGGCAGATAATTTTAAGGGGAAATAAAGGGCTTCTTACTGCTCATTCTACATGTATATGACACATCATCAATAATGTATCAGAACGGCTCATGCGACAAAACTTTGAAATTTGTCAATATTGACATAAAAAGCGTGAACTGGAAGATATCATACAATATCAGGGATGAACTATAATTTATTTTAGCCGTCATGGGTTAATGAAGGGAAATGATTCTCTCAAATATGAAGTGAACTGCGACGCTGTTAATGTCCCATTTGTACAAGGTTCATTTCCCTGCATTATTCCATGCATAAAATCAATCCTTAAAAGTATGTAATCTATTTCAGGAAAAAAATCCGAATGCTTTCGATTGCGCATTCAGTTGAGCCAGCAGTATATTGTAGTGTCACTTTAAACATGTGGCCAGGTATTATGAATACATGTTTGAACATATATAGAACAACTAGTTTGATTTGTTACCAGGCAGCAAAAATGAAGTACATAAACCCGATTCAATTATAAAAATAAATATTTGCTAAAATCACTTATTTTAAAATATTACTGTCATTTATAATTAATTGGTATTTCGGCAAGAAGATGTCTGACGGCCTCTAATGTTGTCCTCCACATTTTTACTTAAAACCTGTCAAAACATAACTTTTTTTCTGGGCGATGCGATGTTTCTAAAACGTATCTCGAATTAGGTTTCATTTTATATAATACGAAATTCGTTTCAACTTTTGTTCGCCAATTTGCGCAAATATCAATCCCTCTAAGAACTGTCTCATATGGAATGAAAACTCATTTATGGTCCTAAATATCGCATCTTTGTTTTTCGAGTTCCTGGTAGACTATAGGAAAGACACACAAGTGAAAATCACATTTTAAACCAAATTTAGAATTAGGTACAGTGGACCCAAACACACAATGCATTTAACTACACCGTACAGCTGTTTCGTCCCTCAAGAATTCGTCAGTGATGCCAAGGGCATAAATTTTGGAGGTGACTGTGTAGAATCCAAAGTGTTCAAAAGAAAAGGAAAATTATAGATGGTGAAGTGCACCAGCCCCATATTCAGTTACAGCAAACCTCGGGTACTAAAAGTCCACCAGCAATGCCTATCACCTGCATTTTTGAAGACTATACAAAAGATACACAAGTGAATGACACATAACAAAAACAAAAAAAAAAAAAAAACAAAAAAAAGAATAAGACACAATAGAGCCAAACAATGAAATAAACTTCATGTCACATCTGTTCCATCATTCTAAGACAGTGATGCTAATGGCCTGGAAAAAAGACACGGAATACGCAATACAGACATACTTATACAGAATCATGTATAAATCTTATACATTCTAGTACTACAACGATTCGAACGGGTTAAACAACAATGTACGATTAACCGACTGATTTGATTTCAGAGTCATCTCCTAACGGTAGTCAGTCTCTTGGATAAGTTACTTCAGGTCAGTAATGTTAATAGGATAAAAATTCTTATATTCGAGGATTTAAGAGTGACATTTGGATGACAACACTTTCTAATCTGGTGCTTTCTGTCGCCTTCTTGGCATCCCATATCCTTCTAATGTTAATAAAGTGGGACACTGAATTTTCTGTGCGTTTCTGTGATGTACTATGTGTTGCAGTTATTGCATATGGTTTTGTATAAGCTTTTTGCGAGGTTCTCTTTAGGTGTGTATCCTTAGGATGCTTGCGAGGTTCCATAGATGTTGCAATACAATGACCACTGTAAATCCTCTAAATGGCTTCGAATGGACTTTTGATGTAAGGGATTAAAACCCGTACTCTCATTTTGTTTTGTTTTTTAATGTTTCGTCTCTTTGTCTTTTATCCAAATTGCTTTACCAAATTTTGTTCACTTTCTAGATTGACCAATCAGGTATCAACATGGCGCTGCTGACGTACGTTTTTTTTTTTTTTTTTTTTGCTTTTTTGTGCCGATAGTATCGCATCTATTATGTAATATATGGATGTCAAGGAATGGTGTAGCGCCATCGATTTCTTCCTCACAGCAGAATTATCAAAATAGTGGAAATCTTTAATTTATAAGGTTAATTTAGAACCGGAGGCAATGTTTTGGAAACTGAGTATTTATAACATATAAGAGTGCGAAAGTAGCTTTAAGTGATCAAACATTATCAAAATGTTTCGCAGAATCCATTAATTATTACTTACCGTCGCTGACTTTAATTTTCACCGGGGGAAATCGGACATGTCTTACACTGTAACATCAAATACATATCAACATATTAGTGTAATATGGTAACAGGGTGGAAAATATACACATGTAATACATTGAATAAAGGTAAAAATATGGTGTATGGAAAGGAGATTATATGATCGCCAACAATACTAAAATGTCAATAGATTTTTAAATAGAACTCAAAATCGATCGATGAAATGGTGGCAAGCTATAAAAAAACAAGCGAGAAGACCAAGGTAATATAAACAGGTATTGCGGGATGGTCTTTATTTATTCTCTAAATAAAGACAAATAACAAAAACCAAAACAAAAAAACAAAAAACAAAAACAAAAAATAAGAAAGACATAGATAGATATCATGAAAATAGAACCAATAAAGAAAAGAAGAGTTAATTACTTGCTCGAAAATGAATCCTCTTCGAACACGTCTGTTAAATCCGTGAAAATTGGAGTCATCAAAACATATATTTTACAGTATTTGACCTGCGATATTTGTTCACATATACCGCAGTCGCTTATGTTTGTAATTTGTGTGATTTATTTTCTTTCAGATGGGACGTCCTGACAGCTTTACACCTGTAGATTCAATCATCATTTCCCTTGAACTACCTAACACCCCTACACAAAAATGTACACTCGTCAACAACTATGATGGTAACTCGTGGTTACGCAACAGGTAATAGTGACCGGGCTATTCCATCAGTCTTTTGTTGCGCCCCGAGGGAATGTCTGTTAACGTCTTACCACAACATCTCTGCACTTATTCACATTTATGATCTATATAACCATTATATAAAACAAATTATTTTAATGATTAAGCGTTATTCGTAAGAATGTTAATAGTGATTGGTGGTATCAGGTTATGAAATGAATGATGATGTAACATTTCTGAAATGTATGTATTCATGCACTTTTATGACAGATATTGTAATCAGTTTCATCAATAACAATATTAGAAAAAAGAATATACGTGATACGCCCATACCGATGAAAAAAGAAATGTTGGAAGAATTATGAAATTTGGATTGTGACAATAGTCACATGAATTTTTTTATACGGCTTCATTGTGTGTATATATATTCGCTAAACGATGACAATGTTTTTCTGTATACGTGATTTTTTTATGTTTGCTAAAATATTGAAAGTGTTACGAACATAAAATACATTAACTGCAGACCAACACATTCTGTTTTTAGATGTTTCATATTCCCAAGATTGATGGAAACATAAAGGGCTAAGCTTCATACCGTCATCACTGGTAATAGATGACTACTGCTTACAACACAAAAAAGTGCTTATTGTAATTAACTGAATTTAGATAGAAATGTGACATAATGTGAAACACGTGTTAAGTCATTGCGTGGATATCTAACATAAGAGTTAATACTACAAGAATTAAAACCAACAAGACTAAGATAGAAATAATATTAAGTGTCTAGACTGTTGTCATATTGTTAAATGACGTGAAAAGTTATAGGTATGTTCAGTTTGCAACAAATATGAATATCTAAGATAACACAGAATCGGTAAATGTCTTATCAAATTCCAGCTCGCCATTCTAAAAAAAAAGTTTGAATCAAGCTGGCGTTTGTTTCGGCATTAATGTTATCCGCTAAATTGCGACAAGAAATGAAATGTTCTAGCATTGGAACTAAGGACATTGAATATGTATAAGCTAGGACGCTGATATATGTTTTAAGAGTAGTTTTGTATTTATTTCAAGCAAAATGAAAAGAGAGAATTTTCACTTTTTTTACTTTTAGCTCAGTATCAATGTTTGCTATATATATCAAGAAATTATTTCTTTTCGTATTTTTTAGTTTAAATATATTTTACTGCCAAAAAAAGGAAAAATGGATTGGGCACAAGTTTTATCAACATTATCGACGCCCTCTCCAATCAATATACAGTACAATATACATATAAATTTTAAGGCAATGGCATACATGACCAAAATAATGAGGTATGATCTACATTGAACAATTAATATATCATAATAATTTTATACAAAGCTGGTTTCCTATCTTAAAATGTAAATCTATTGCTGGACCTTATGTAAATTTGCACTTAATTTAAGATATTTCAATTAAGTTTTGACGGTAATTGTCTATCCCCATAAAGTAGTAGTTCTATGTCAATGTCATGATTAATATTTGATACGTTTGAATTATTTAGCATTGCTAGTCTCTGATTTTGATAATTGTGACAAACAAAAAAAAAGAAATAATGTAAATCTTCACATCAAAGCCATAGGAACACATTGGGCCATTAGGCTAGCCACAAGGTTAACACGAAAAAGATCATAGTTGAATGAACTGCACTGATGTCTTAATTTTGTATGAATAATATTAACTTCCCTTTGACCACAATTAAAATATGGTGGTGAAGGCAACTGTCTTTGACCAGAAAGCAAAGATTTTTTAAATAAACTAAGGGACGGCTGTAATCTAACTGATAAATCTAATTCTTTCAAAGAACAAAGTAACGAGTTTGTAATAGTTAATCTATGATTAGGTAATGCAAAATTATCTCTATTTCTCAAACTATAGGGGTTAACTTGTTCAACAGTTGGTGGCAATAATATATTAAGAAAAGTTGGTGTTATACCATGTTTCATCTTATACAAAAGTTGTAATTTACGTCTTCTACGTCTTTCAGAAAGTTTTTCAAAACCTGTTTCATAATAAAGCGAGGCATAACTTGTATAGGAAGGCAAACCAGAAATAAATCTAGCACCTTCCCTTTGGGCTTTTTCTAACATATTACATTCATTATTACAACCGTCCCACACTTCACACGCATATTCAAAATTAGGTAAAATAAATGTAAGATAAATCTTTGATAAGGTCTCCCTTTTTAAAATATGTTAAAGTTTCCTCAATAAATAGATTTTTTTTTCATAACCGAAACATATATACCATGGATGTGGTCTCCCCGTTTACCTTTAGCATTCAGTGTCACCCTAAATGTTTATAAGTTTCGCTAAAATCTAAAAATATTCCATCAAACTGCAGTTCAAAAACATCAAATTCATAGCATTAGAAGGACAAATTACATCGGTCTTATTAGGATTGAAATTTACCAACCACCTTTTAGACCAGACATTAATTTTAACTATATGAAAACATTATATTAATTAATAAACCGTGGGATGACCTTGCATAAATCCTGATTGGTGTTCGTAAAACAGAGATTTATTTTAAAAATGATTATGCATATGTTTAAAAATGACTCTTTCGAAAACTTTTCCAACAGTGGATAACAAGGAAATTGGTCTACAATTTGTAACATCACGTTTGTCACCTTCATTTCTTAAAGAGGCATAACCTTTGCTAATTTCCAGGCTTTAGGGTAAACTCCGCTAGTAAGGGATAAATTAAAAAGTAACATAAGAGGTTTACAAACAGCATCTGCGGTGTACCTAAGCATAGAGTGACTAATACCGTCACTTCCTGAATCTTTTCCAAGTTTCAATATACGTAAAATATCCTTAATCTTTGAGTATTCAACTCTAATAGTATGTAAACGACACTCTGTCCTGTCCTGAACAATAGGACTTTCTACATTATCATCAGCTACTTCAGTAATAGAACAAAAGTAAGAATTGGAAATATTAGATTTTTCGGTATTTTCAATTACAATATTTCCTTCAGTGATATGTATGAGGCGGGGATTTCCTGAGACGACTCAACAGTTTTCATAAGACGTTTGATTAATTTCCAATAATATTTCGGATCACTAGTTGAATATCGATCTATAAAACCATCAACATTTTCATAAAAGTTTAAACGAGCATGCTTCTTCATATTATTGACCCTGTTGCGTTGCGCTTTGAATTTCATAATATCGACAGATTTACTGGAAAGTCGTGCCTTTTTGTGTAATCAGTCCCTAATTCTAATATTTTTCCTTAACTCGGAAGTCATCCAGGGCTTGTCACCTGGCCTAACAGTAACTTCTTTGCTAGGGATACATGAATTAGAAAAATTAAGATAAGTTTGAGTAAAACCATCACAAGAACCATCAATAGAACCAGTACTCGAAAAGAAACTTTCCCAGTCATATTCTGAAATCAAATTATTAAAACGAACAAAATCCACTTGTTTATATAACCAAATATTCCGTTTATACACAGGTTTCGTATTAAATGGTATTTCAATAGATGCCAAACTACCGTCGTGATTACTTAAAGATCTGTCAACGGTCAAAATATTTGCTTCGATACAGGTGACTGGGGCACTTAATAGAATAGGATCAAGTAAACTGGCCCTAGTATTGCCAACTATTGCCTAGTTGGTTCTTTGATTACATTTCTAAGACCATAAGTCAAAAGTGATTCTGACAAGTTATGTCTAGGTTGAACTGTTAAAATGTCTACATTTAAATCGCAATTAATAACCAAGTTTGGGAAATATCTAAAGCTCTGTCTACTGATTCACATGAACTTTCCCAAAACGGATTGTTAGAGTTTTCTGGTCGATAATTAGTACATACAATGATAGAAGAGTGCTGAAATTATATCTGGGTCCAAAGAATCTCACATCCTGTAGTTTCTAGTTCACGTAAACACTTAAATTTGAGTTTGTCATTCACATAAACTAGAATACCCTCTCCCGCAAAATTACGACCTAAACGAAAGAGTTCCTGGAAACCTACAAGAAGCAAACTGTCTGAAGAAACATGCTCGTCTAAATGTGTTTCTGTTAGGCAAATAGTAACATACTCCTCGGTCAGGTCCATTAAATCCTGAATTTCATTTCAGACATTTCTGATGTTCAAATGAAAAATAGATAATTCATTTGGACCTGAATTTGTCTCAGCATCCATATGAGACCAAAATAAAATTATAAAAACCAAAGTGAATTCTAATTTTAAAAAAACTTAAGTTCAGGATCAGGACTAGAGAATGTATCATAGATAAAAACTTGGACGAGAAGACGGACAGAAACCCCAAAACTGATATAATGTTTAGGTACACCAGAGTACATACATTTTAAAAGCCACCATAGGATTTGGAATAAAAAGTGCCAATCGCCGATCTGTAGCTCATAACGTCATTAACCATTATCAAAAACAAGGTTAAGTACTTGACGTCCAAAACGGCGATCAGCATAAATAACAGAAGTATGTAAGGTCCAGCAAAATTGCAGTGGGTAAGTACAACAAACCAGCATCATAATTTTCGTTTGCAACTGAGAATCAAACACAAAAACAATATGTACATATAAACAAAAGCAAATCTCAGTCAAGGTGAAAGATGATTGCTTTGGGCTCATAGACATGATACGTTTATCGTGATGAAACTATAAGTATTGTTGGACATCCAACATACATTAATGTATTATTGTTATTTTTAATTTTTGTAAAAATCAACATATTTACGTCATAATAGATTGGATAGGCTTGCAACTTTGACTATCACCTGGTATCCACATAATTTAGATATGCCATCATTAGGCCAAACTATGTTGTTCTGATACAGCCGTTTATTTTAGCCGCAAAATTAATTCCGTGAGTTTTTTCTAGCAGTTCACGAATTTCTTAACATTAACCCGAAACCATGGTAACCATTTTGAAAATATAAATAGAAAACTGCGAAATTGCGGTTTTTAAAGACCAGCGCGATCGCGAATAAAAGCAAAGTACTGAAAGCACTTAAAGGCTAAACGTATTGAAAAATGTTCACAAATAACCGCAAAGCTATATTACTTTCCCCATACTCCTACACTTTGGAATCAAAAATTACTAAAATAGAAGAACCCGACGCTAATTTTCTTAATTTTAAGCGATTTTATATCTTCTTTAATTCTTATTTCAAATTTGACGACAATAATGTGAACAAATCAAAATAGGTAAAAAAATAACAAAATACACACAACCATATATTTATCGCCAGCAAGCCAAATGATAAAGAGCTCTATGATGAAGTTGACTAAATAAAACCTTTGAAATACCCAAGATGTTGCAATTACTATCCTATCAATATGAGGATTTAGACAAATCGAAAGGACTTCATACCTACTTCTTTATTTTGAATGTATTGCATTGTACAGCATTTCAGATATATTAAAGTGTAAGTAATTACATTAAATGTATTTACATGCCTATCTTCCTTGAAGTATCATGGTTAGTTTTTTGTTCCAGTAATTATGTCTATAAAGACATAGTTCTTTGAGATTAAACCAGACTTCCATATATATACAAAATTTACAATATTTTCACTATTACTACTACTATTTCTGATCTCCAGTGCATTAGATAATGTCACTATGACACGCTAAATAAATAAATATGTTATGGAAATATTTCGTTCTAGTTAATTGATAATTATAAACATGAATATTTTGGGGTTTTTTTTATACGCGCTTTGTTTGAAGGAATATTTTCATTTCAAGGAACTTTGATACACATTAACAAACCTTGAGAAATCAGCACAATCAACCTTCATCAAATAAAACTAAAAGACAAAAAGTATAAGTTATAACAGAGTCAACATCATGATCAGTACAGTATTAAACATATATTATTCATAAATCATGAGCACCAAATGTACCTTGCCTACGAAGCGCAAACTTTTTATCTTCAAAAACTTGAAAAAGTGTCATGGCGGTGGGTGTGAAAAACCTGAAAAAGTGTCATATCGGCCGGTGTGCGCGTGGGACGAACAGTCCAATTCGGTGACGTCTAATGAGGTAAAGTGATGTTATATATCAAGACGATCTTGCCACAACGACAAGGATTAAAACAAAATTGATGTTCTGTTTGTAAGTTTTGTTTGTTTATAAGTGCTGTTAGTTGATAATTCAAACCAAGCCCCCAGACTAGCTTCTTATCAAATCCCACGTACAGTGTTCTGTACGCTTACGTCATGTCGAGAATTCCGTAAAATATATTGTTTTAAAATTTATCAATAGTTCAACCACACTGTGCTTCTTTTAAGAAATATATAGTAATCGTATTGTTATTGAAAAAAATAAACTAATTTTGGATGCTTTTAAAATAGCAATTTGAAAGATCGCGGCATTATTTACGCAGAAAATTGCCGCTAGAGGGCTCTAACTCTTTTCGATATTTCAGCCAATGAGAAGGCCAGGATCGGTAAATTTTGTCTGAAAGGCCGTCGCAATAGACTTTGCGTACTGAGTACGTTTAGCCTAAAAACCCAAACCAATTTGTTTTAATTACACCAAAGCAAAGTATGTCCCATGTCACTTATCCTTATATTCACAACGCGACATCACTAAACACTTGATACGTCTACCAATACGGGCATCCATTATTCATATACAGAGTAATGGAACGTGATGTCAACAGAACGTTTGATAAATAATTATCTTCTGAACGGAATTTTAGAAAATTCATTGCATAAAGTTCACTAATCAGAAGTATCTGCCTTATCAGGGCAATTCTGATACTGACTTGTCTTGTTTCAAGTATGAAATTTTTTTTCTAGATATATTTAAATAAATTTATAAAGTCCTGAAGTTACCCCGAATAAAATGAATAAACAAATAAATTAGAGGTAAACATATACGAACTATTTTGCAATTCTTTCCAATAAGATCTCATGAACAATTTTCAAATGGATATTTTTACATTCTGATTGAATATCTCTCATTATGTCAGTAACAACATTGATTGCTTTTAAAAGTGTACTTTACATTTTGCTTTAGGACCCCCTATTAACTACCATAGGTCAAAATATGACGCCTTTCTCTGAATGAGGACTTCTGCTACTTTACCGCTGTGTACGTCCACTCGGATAGCAAACTATAGCTTGGTATCAATCATTTAGAAGATTTTCAGGAAGCCCCCAGTAAATAAACGTACATGGAAAGTCTTAACTGTAATTACTTTAAAACATATACACAATAATTTTAAAAGAATGAATGAAAGACACAGAAGTGAACACTACCTGTCCATGTTAATTAAGAATTATCTACAGTATGGGTTAATATTAAATAGAATTGCATCACACAACTATTTCGTTGTCGGATTGTTAAGTATTGTTCAGCACCTAATAAAACTGACAGCTATATAAAGACACTGAGCACAGATCAAAACCAATGCTCGACATTTACGTTAAAAACAAGATAGGAAAATTCACTAACCATAAAAGTCTCAAAAATGTGATAATATTGTGTGGTGGATATTGTATTGATGTTTAAGTCATTAATATTAACAATGTATTTTTATACAATTTCACGACATTCCAATGATTAATGCCACTATTTTTAACTTAGTTTTACTTTGAGAAGAATGTACTTACTCTGATACAAACATCATATCATTCGTCAAAAAGTTTGTTTCATCGTTACATTTGATTTTCTTCATGTCACTACAAGTCAAATGCTTTGATTTCGGCTGGCAACAATACCAAGGTATTCCAAAATTTACTCCCGTTAAATTGCAACCTTGTCCTGTGTAACAGTCTTTCAGACCTTGAAGTAACGGGCTACACTTTGAACTTTCCTTGTGTTTTTCATCTGAGCTAATAAATTGTGATCTCATCGCAAAAAGCAACCCATGTGTTTCGGTAGTATTCAAGAAAAACGTCACATGTTCCCGTGTGTTGCCCATGGATACGATGACCTCTGGTGACCCCGCCCATGGCAAAGTTACTACTCCTGTATATGTTCCGTTACCATGGTCAACTGTATAACCATTTACACTAGATTTGGTTGATTTTTCTCTCAACCATATTCTAACATAGTCTCCTCCTGTCGGAATTGGAATTCCACTTCTGTCATACAATAATATCCGTACCTTTAGGGTGTCTCCAACATGGAATGCACCAAATGGGATTTCAATTTTTGAGTTGTTCATAGAAAAGAAATGGTCCTTATCGGAAACATATAGATGAGTGTAAGCCTCATAACGTTGAAAAGCGGTTCTCGGAATTAGCAGGCTGGACTGTTTCTCAGAATGAGCAATACGTAAGACATCAGGTGATCCGTTGACATGTTCGAAAAAATGCTTTCCCGATATATCAAACACACGTATGTTTCCCACAGTTTTCTCGAATTTGGATAAGTCTTGTACAGTTGTGTATTGATACCTGTAATTGAGAGTATATGAACATTACCAAGACAAAATGCGATTCCAAACTTGATAGTCATGATCGATGTCATATTGATACGAAAGATATCCAGCAGAATACATGTATGGACGTCTATGTTATGATGCTGATACTTTCTGCAAGAATACAATGAGTATTTCATTTTGATTTTTATAACTCTAAACATTCTTATTTCACCAGTAATCTTATTCTACCAGTAATCTTATTTCACCAGTAATCTTATTCTACCAGTAATCTTATTTCACCAGTAATCTTATTTCACCAGTAATCTTATTTCACCAGTAATATTATTCTACCAGTAATCTTATTTCACCAGTAATCTTATTCTACCAGTAATCTTATTTCACCAGTAATATTATTCTACCAGTAATCTTATTCTACCAGTAATCTTATTTCACCAGTAATCTTATTCTACCAGTAATCTTATTCTACCAGTAATCTTATTTTACCAGTAATCTTATTTTACCAGTAATCTTATTTCACCAGTAATCTTATTTCACCAGTAATCTTATTTCACCAGTAATCTTATTCTACCAGTAATCTTATTTCACCAGTAATCTTATTTCACCAGTAATCTTATTTCACCAGTAATCTTATTCTACCAGTAATCTTATTTCACCAGTAATCTTATTTCACCAGTAATCTTATTCTACCAGTAATCTTATTTCACCAGTAATCTTATTTCACCAGTAATCTTATTTTACCAGTAATCTTATTTCACCAGTAATCTTATTTCACCAGTAATCTTATTTCACCAGTAATCTTATTCTACCAGTAATCTTATTTCACCAGTAATCTTATTCTACCAGTAATCTTATTCTACCAGTAATCTTATTCTACCAGTAATCTTATTTCACCAGTAATCTTATTTCACCAGTAATCTTATTTTACCAGTAATCTTATTCTACCAGTAATCTTATTTCACCAGTAATCTTATTCTACCAGTAATCTTAATCTTATTCTACCAGTAATCTTATTTCACCAGTAATCTTATTCTACCAGTAATCTTATTTCACCGTTTCTCCATTTCGTTTATGTGAAGATTATTATTGCTGTAATACAAAATCAACATTGTGCTAATTTTTTATAATATGTTGTGCGCTAATATTTGATTAGGAAATGAAAATTATTCCTTTTACAGTGTTCTTTCTGTATGAACATTGGTCCATTATATTATATATGAATGATGTATGATTTAGTTGTCATACAAGTTTTGCGCTTATATAGTAAGTTGACCTTCTTGGTTTGAGATCATCAAAGTCAAGAATATGCTTTTGGTAAGTATTGTTATTACAAATTTAATACTCCCCCTCAACCCAATTTGGGATTTTGTAGAATATTTCACGTATTTGGGGCGAGATAAAGATCATTGATTCAGCCAACACGCGAGGTTTCCGAATGGTTAATTAACTAAATGACCTTACCCCGTAGATTGATATCACATTTCTCACTAACAAGGTGTTAAATGATTATGTTTTGATCATCTCTCTCGAAGCTATCCTATCAGAGTGACGTCATACCTTTTTAACCAACCCTACCCAATGCTTTAACAATTTCCGTTTCGACCATATGGCGAGACAAGGAAATTGCCATACTCCTTAGAATGGCTACACATCTGTTCCGAGCACAAAGGTGCATTTTGAGTAGAACTTAATTATTTCCAAGGATTAACACAACGCCTTGTTGAGGACTATGTATTCAATGCTATTTTAAAACTTTTGGAATTTCTTTGACTCCAGAATTTTGTGGTAAGCAAACTGCAACTCACCTACACCACAATACATTTATTATGTGAAACAGTTGGTGCGGAAATTGAGACAAGCTGCATATCCAATGACATGTTAATAACTAATGTTGCAGAGTGATAACGCCATATCCGTAGGCTGGTAAAATTAGTTTTATTTTCTATAAAACTATGACTCTTTTTTTAAGAAAAACACAAATGTTATACCACATTGTAAGACTATAGGTATAGAAGCATGTTTAAAGTTTGCCATGACTTTCCGATTTGCAGAATCATCCTACAGTATTGTAGTACAAGGTTGCTTAAAATTTCAGGTTAATATGCATACTGCCGTTTTTTAGGGCAACATACGTTACAAAACATCACTTTCTTTGTACTTTCTTCATATTTGAAACTAATTGGCGGAGGAACGTTAATGAAATAAGTACACCATGTCTAATCATCAACCTTATATCTAATGCTTTTACTGGTGGTAGCGGGGTTTTTAATTGTGCTGTACTAAAATCATAGTCATGATATGAAAATATGAATATTTTGAGTTGATTGGAACTGGATACAATTCATATTTCAACCCTTCACATGTGGTAAGAATCATCAATCCAATTGTTAGAGTTGATAAAAAAAGATGAAGGTAAATGACATTTGTATCAATATTTGATTTTCATTACTCACTGAGCTGGCATTATGATTGATGGTATATCAATACCTACATTACAGCTTTACCTACCTGAACAGGAAATGTTTCTTTAGAACACATGTTTATATGATATCGGTCAGTTACACAACTGTCCAAAATACATACATTATTCATTAGATCTGACAGTGATCACGTGATATCCTGACCTATCATCTTTTGTTCAATGCTTTCCACGTCTTACCACGTAATTGATATCTTTCAATCACTTATAAATATATTTTGTCGGGTCAAAATATTTGTCAAAATCCTTTATCATCATTAAACAGAAAATACATTTAATTGTCTACTGCTGATATTTGATACCAAATACATATTAGAAATTATTTTTAAAATTTGGTTTATGAAGCTGACAACACTTCAGACGTGTGCCTAATAGCCTCAGGCTGTCAGTTCTTTGTATTAACTCCCTGTATATTTACCAGTATGAATTGTAGCATTAAAGCTATTAACTACGATCCTCTTCTTTTTAAAGAAGTGTCTGTCATTTACTGTTGTATTTTTTATGAAACGATGTCCGTTCATCAACCTGAGATTTGTTAAAATCATTTGGTTATATTTAAACATAAATTGTCAGCAGTTCTATGTTTTCATTATACAACTTTTGTTATTGTTAGAAAACAAATTGATACTTATTTAATTTGTACTTACATATACCATAACAGAAAAATCCCAGAGCAGACCAGTATAGCCGATAAGGCTCGTTTAGTCCTAAACCTCATCCCTGATGATTTAGTAGGTTTGGCATCCATTCGGAAGAACTAGGAAGATCGTATGACGCAATCATTACAAATTAAATACTGCAAAAACAAACAGATTCATTATACACCTGGAAAGTATTGACAAGGACAGGATATAAACAATGAAATTTTTTGTCTGAAAGAAAGGCGATAGGTCACAATCACGACTTCTGTGGTGAACTTTCTATCAAAGGTAACCAATCAGTTTACATTGAATGCTATAACGAATAATTTAAACATGTAATTAATTTTGAAATGTAAAAAAGTATCAATGAACAAAAAGGATAGTCTTACCTCATTATTACTTATACTTCACCATCGTTACTACGATGAGATCTGACCTTTCACTGCGAGAAAATGTGTACGTGTGGATATGGTTGGCCGCCGTATGTCAATATTGCCAGGGGCGACAATAGCTGTACAGCTTGGGCGGATTATAGACAATGCTGCGGGCATTGTTTGACATATCGTATATGTCATTATCGAAGGTTTCTTAATTACAGTGACAGCCACGCGTTCTGGAACTAGCTAGGAAAAAAATGCTAGTCCAATAAAGAAGCGAAAACAATACAAAATATGTTATTAAATGCACCGATTACTACATACAAAGTTGTATTATATCATTATTCCTGTTGTCCACTAACAGGATATCGGTAAATCTCAACTACAATTATTTCTGCCACATTTCCATTTAGAATGTTGTACTACAGTTTGCTTACATTTCTTATTATCAGATCCATTTTCTGGACAAATGTCAACTCTCTTTCATATGACTAATATAAATCTACACGAATGTTATCGTTATCAAAAAGATGAAATTGTGAGTTGGATCTAAAACACGTTTGCCGAAAAAAGGATTTTTTATGAAATATTTTGCATCACTTGTTTATTTATAAAATTATGTTATGTTTTCATCTCTATAGTTTTCAAACTCATCTATTTCATCAAGAATCTATGAATGCATTTCCATAACAATATCACTGTCTATCATGATAATATATTAAACATTTTATATACTCACATAGGTCAACTTAACAGAAATACAGATAATATATTAACACCTCTACCATAACACTTTACGGTCTCTTATTATTGTGAGTACACCTTCATACCATAAGACAATTCAAAGAATGTGTTTTAGCTTTCTACCAACGACAGGTAATGCTAGTTTGCAGATTTAGTGCAATGCTGTAGTTGATCGAGTCACTTACCTGCCTAAGGCGTATCACATATTCTCATTCTTACACTGTTTAAGGCTTGTTAGCTTCATGAAGGCGTATTTCATTAAAAACTTTCTGCTGGGTTTAAAATCAATTAAATATATTCAAAATGTCATTTTTCTGTATAAGATTATATAAAAACAAATAATTCATTTGTAGGGAAGTGCATATGTGATGGGCACCATATCGGATTTTATCATCAAGGCCAAAATAAATCTCAGTTTGAAGGAAACAAATTGATTATATTGAAAGAATGAAGACTAAAATAGTATATGCATGTTTCGGTGTTAGACTATAACCACGGTATATTAACTTGACTGAAAAGTATTCTGATATCTCAGCTATACGTGTCAAATAACTTACTCATACTTAAACACACAAAACACTATCATATCGTGTTTTTCATATATCATGTTCATATTAAATGAATTTCAGATTATCGACTTCCTTTCATTGATCACATCACTGACGTCGATGCCGTTTTACTGATCACATCTATTTTAGATACTGTTTGTTTATCGGTTCGTACCATTTTGAATTTGCTATTAATGAAACAATGTGAACTATGTTTTTTGTTTTCATGACAAAATGGTTTTGTGAGTTGTAACTTGTTTTCATACCCCATTTTTACCAACATGATTCTAGACATGAATTCTATAATAGTACTCAATATTCATCAGTACCTCATTTCAGAATGGACCATGAAATATAGATAACTAATGATTTTATAAAAATGTTCCATATCAAAATATTGTAATGTGTCTAATATTCAAACAAATTCAAGTAGGTACCATTTTGTCGGGAAACTTTGTAGCATATAACTGTCTAGAGTAAGAAGAGAGTAAAACAATCAAAATAAAATTATTAGACTATAAACAAATCAGTTACATTTCAGTTTTTATCAAACCAAATTACACGTAAGCAAGCAAATATATTCAAACATTGGTATTAATTTAGCTTAAAAATAAATTATTTTTGTTATCAGCCCTGATATATATAATAATCTGTTTTATCATTCCTTGATTTGTATTGAACTAAAGAGGAAACGCGACATTTTCGCTTTATTAATCTCGGCAAAAAATCTCCAAACGCATGATGTAAGTTATGGCAAAAAAGTATATCCTATTGGAATATTAGTGTTCACTCACAACGGTCATAATAAACCTTTTTTGTTTTACTGACCGAGTACGTCCGGTAAAACAGAACAGTAGAAAATAGAGGGGAAATTATCTTACCTATGTCATATTAATGTTGCTTGCTTCAGTGATCATAAATAGGGGCGATGTCTCCTGTTATCTAAGACAGCATGTCATCGGTCACCTCATCGAGTGTAAAATTATTGTATTGCATGTATCTTTCTGGTTGGTATGGTCCAGTCAGATCTGATGATATTGGAGAAAGCAGTTTGCAGTGATTTCAATGATATTATAATGTATGACTGATGCTGAAAAATGTACTTCAGCATTGATAACAATCAGAAAGAAATATATTTATATATAAAAATGTATGCAACTAATGACGTTTGATTGAATACATTTAATTTTCTCAATATAACTTCATGAAATGAATTGCGCCTTATTAGCTAGTTTTGGACACATCGGACTTCATATCATACAGGGAAAATAACGATTTAGGATGAGAAATGATGTGAAATTGCTATTTTTACTTTGAGAACATGACATTGCTTACTTAAATTAACCAAACTTTCCACGATGAAGCAGAAGGCAAGTTTCTTCTTGCATACCTGGTTATATTCCCCTTGTGCGTTTTTTCCATGAGTCTCTATGTAAATCTTTCTTTTGCTCAAATTTTGCTCTGGTTTCATGGAATAAGAATTTGAACTTATATTATGTTGCCGTTGAATATTTTTGTTTGAATTAATCCGTTCTTTATTATCATTAGTATTATTATCATTTTTTTTTTATCTTTTTAAAAACATTTTACCGACGATAATATTGATGAAAAAAATTTGAAGTGCCTTGACGTGCATCCTAAAAAAATTGACTTTTAAAAACGACGAAACCGTAACAGAAATGGACTATATCAAAAAGCAAACCACAGACAGAGACTGTGACAACAATAGATAGAAACCAGTTGAATCATAACCATAGATAGGTCTGTTAGTGAAAATGGTACAAAAAATTCAAGTGAATAGCATATTTTGGTGAAAATGAAGAATTAGCTACAGTATGGCTAAATAATGCATCAAGTACCGATATTACAAACATCCTGATTACAGGTGATCTAAATGACAATATCTTATCTCCATCAAAAGGTCATGATGTCGCTACACTTTATTTTGTAATAGACAACGCCGTTTACTCAGTCAATATCATAAAGAACGACCTATGTAAAATTGTTGCATTGGCTAAACAATAGTTAATAACGTTTAACACCACCAGAATTATTGATAATTAGTAAGAAAGTTTCGAAATGCAATTTATGGACAATACTTACATCCAACAAGTGACAACACATGAACATCAAGGTGCTGATTTAAGTTGAACTAACCATGTAGACGGTATCATTTCGAAGGCATTTAGAAGGCACCTTAGAAAGGATATATTTCTCATATGTTATACCAGTTCTCGAATATACTGATGCTGTTTGGGATTCCCAAGATAACCAAACTTCCTTACATGATCAAAAATCATGTAACGTCTTCTCTTTACAACATACTTTGCGGAACCTACTTTCCACATTATTAGAAAATGATTCTGTGAGTGTCTGTAAAAATATCTTGATAGAGACATAAGTATATCGCTAAGTTACCATTCCTATGGTAATCGAACAGACAAGGTATATCATTCATCATTTCAGATCACGATTACAATGCAGCGGCTTAAAATCTTTTGAGTAAAGTATATAAATTCAAGAGAACAATTCATCATGGCATGGAATTATGGATCGAATATCGATTGATTACTTTTTTAAATTCCAGGACAGACTGTACAACAAAACCAGGAAATTAGCTTAGCTGTACAACTGTACAAGAAGTCAAAGCTAAAACCTAGCAACAATACACTTATCTTATCTAGGATTGCTCGGTTTATCCGATCTTACTTATGTAGTAACAATCAACTTAAACTTACCATGAATACCCCTTCTTTCTTTTATATATTTTAATTTACCTAACACAATTATGATCATTAATACATAGAGTACTAGGAATAAAGAATGGGTACTAAGAAAAGTTGAAAGAATGGAGGATAAAGGTATTAGACAGTTCGAGAAGTGAGGACTAAAGGTTCTAAAGAGTTTGAGAGGGAGGGCTAAAGGTTCTAGAGAGATAAGGGAGTTGGGGCTTAAGTTTCTAGAGAGTTTGAGAGCGAGGACAAAATGTTCTAGAGAAATAAGTGAGTGACGGCTAAAGATTCTTGAGAGTTTGAGTGGGGAGTTAGGGTTAAAGGCTATAGAGAGTTTGTGGAGTGAGGGTCAAAGGTTCTAGAGAGTTGAAGGAGTGACGGATAATGATTTTAGAAGGTTTGAAGAGTGAGGGCTAAAGGGTTTTGAAAGTTTAATGAGTGAGGACTAAAGTTTAAGAATGTGTATGGAATGGGGCTTAATGGTTTAGAATTATTTAAGATTTAAAGAGTTTAAAAAGTTACAAAGTACTTATCTTTAATATAAATACCCATTTATACTTATATGATTTCAATGTACTCAACAGTATTAAGGTAATTTGTATATACAATTGTATTGATGTACTCACAGTTTACTTACCTGTAATAGGGATAATCGTTTATAATTATGTAAAACATTGTAATTAATTTTATCAAGGTCATATATATATTTTACCTGTATAATGTAACTAGTTCATACCTGTGTAAAATGTACTTACTTTAGTTAGGTTAATCAGTTTATATTTATGTAGCGTAAATTACTTACCCTAGTAGGTATACTTTTTCATAATTATGTAGTTGTAATAAACTAACACTTACGTTGATGTAGATTATTGTTGACACCAGCGTTCCATGTTCAGTCAGACAATATCACTCTACTGATATATCTTTACAAATAACTAATTAAGAGATGGTTTTACATAAGCTATAAGCTTGTTATCCAATCATCCTGGTAATATCTGCTTTAGTACTATTTCATTTTTTAATTTGACCGTGCCACTTTGACTACCAAAGGGACATAACTCCCCTTGCATTGTATTACTTCTAACTTCTTATTTGTATTTTCATAGAAGAGGAAGTTTTTGAAAAAAATCTGCCATTTCCAGCACCCCTACATACCCGTTAGTCTTTGATTTACATGTAAATTTGTCTCTCAGTTCCGATGTATACTGCAGTGAGAATTCAGGGCAAGTCCTATAGAACAGACATATTTGATAAACAGCATGACCAACGAGTTTATACCATAGAAAACCACTATAGATAGATAGTTTAGTTTTACACTGATTTACAAATTATTTTTGTCGTGATTAACACTGGTACCAACGTCAACAGAAAAAAACATATTCAGTAAACTACTCGAACTGTTTCAATGTTTTACATGCTTTTGGTGAAGAATTACTAATACGTCCATTGATTGACTTGGATTTGGGTAAAGCATAGAATGTATGCCACTGCCTTTGAATAAGATCATCATTACAGATACAAAGAAGCAGGTGATTTGTTCAGTTGTTTACATGCTAAATGTCAGTGATATCATGAAGTGATATTTAATTTCTACATGTCTATCTGTATTTGCACTCGTCCAATCATCCAAATGCCTATGTCTTTGACATAGTTTATTCAAAACTAATCACAAATACTAGACAAATTTGTTTAATTTCACTTTTAGATATATTGATGACGTGTTGTCTTTAGACAATAAGAAATATATCGCCCACGTCCATCGTATATACCCACCACAATTGGAAATTAAAACACAATAGACTCTTATACATCAGATTCTTATCTCGATCTTTTCGTACAACGACACAAACATGGAGAGCTTTCCACCACGCTGTTAGATAAGCATGATGATTTCAATTTCCCTCTTGTTAATATTTCATTTCCTGGTATCAATATTCCTGTATCCCTAACATATAGCGTTTACATTTCGCAGTTGATTCGATATCCAACGGCATGTTCCCATTATCACGATTTTCTTACAACAAGTCGTCAACTGACGAACAAACTCGTAATATAGTGTTTCAAAAGCTGATGGATGATGAAAAATGTTCATGAGCTACCGTGTAAATCATTTTTTGTTCATGTTTTGCCCTAGGTTTAAGTTTTGGCTTTGATTATGTTGATATTTTTTATGTTTCTTGATGCTATGAAAATAAAGGTTTTGAAAATACATTAGGGTTTGAGTCTGCTCTCTGCCATATGTATAGGTTATTATCTAAATGTCGAAAACCCTTCGCAGGCCCTTAGCCCATTCATGAGTCCTAGGATGAAACAGCGGTATAATGCAATGTAATTGATTTTTTTAATCTACTGTTAATCTGCATCAACAGTTGCAATCTATTTTTGTGTCTATTGTACAATCTGAAATTATGTTGCTCGTGAAATTTTGTAGCATATAACGTCATAGGTGAACTTCATCTTCCAAGCAGCATTTGATTTTTGTTGTTGTTCTTAATTTCACTACTAAATATGCATTCAGTTTGCATACAATATTAATATACAAAATGTTTTTGTTTATAATTAATATTTTGTTGTTTGTTTATAACTAATATTTTGTTGTTTTGTATTTTGTTTAAAACTATTGTTTTGTTGTGTTTTGACAACGATCCCAAAGATAAAGTGGCTTAATGTAAAGAAACGGTATTTTTTCATTTCTTTCTTTTCTTAAGTGTATACGACATTATTTAAAAGAAATACAAAGCACATTTTCACCTGAAAATATAGTCAGGACCGCAACTTTCTGAAAACAGGTATCAGTACCCTATTTGTCGAAAACGCAATTTCCATACATCCGAGCACAATGGTTACGTTTAATTCTAACACGATCTGCTTCTAAAAGAGTTATATATTGTATTCAAACAAGCTATTATACTTTCAAGCTAAAATTTGAGATGTCTTCCATATTCCGTTTGATGGTAAAGAATGCATGTACAAGAAAGAAATTGTACTAAAATATTTAATCAAGTTTGGTGTCCAATTGTCAGAAAACAAAACAATAAAAAAAACGATTTGTTAATAACAATTTCAGTATCTTTATTTATAAAACAATTACAACTACAAACAGGTTTACCGATGTATGTCGATACCCAACCTAAGGTACACAGCATTAATATGAAAATAAAGAGAAATAATACTTTAGCAATATCATAATGCAATGTTATGTGCTAGATTGTTATGGAAATATCGTTTTATTAAAAAAAAGTGCATAATTGTACCTATTTTTGAAAAATGAATTATTACAACAACTGATTATTGATAATTACAAATTAAAACATTTTTTGTCTTTGAAAAAAAAACACTTCAATTTCAAAGGAAAGAGGAAAAAAGAGTTACTCCCCTTCTTTCATAGATGTTCAGGTGTACAACTCGGTTAAACTTTTTATTATGGGTAATAGAATTAGTCCTGCATTCAGAATACTGAATACTTCATTCTGAAATGAATTTGCGCTATATGAGATCATTCTTTGTGGATACTTTCACAAATATGACGATCGTAAGCAATACACTAAGAATATTACTTAGAAATGTATGGAGAAAATCTCGCATTTTATCACCTACCAAAACTTACGTGAACATTAGCGGGACTACTTATAAATAAAAATAATTTTAGAAACCAGTAAGCATTCTTAAATGTTAAAGGTCAAAGTCTTTATCTACCTTTTTGATAATGTATTCTTTTTGTCCCATAAAGAATGAGAAAATATGCTGAACAATTAAGGTATGTATTTTAACCAAGATATCTTCGATTGCAGTATGCTCTATATATCAATTCACTGAGACATCGCCTTGCATATTTCTAAATTGAAATCAAACTGTGGTCTTAAAATATTAACACAGTTAATCATTGCACACAGAATGGCACTGAGTGCATGTTAAAATCATATACAAATTTGTTGTCTTTGAAGATTGTTTATTATAGAAAAAATAAGTTTTCGGGAAAAAGGAAAAACAAACTAGCTAGAAAGTGCATTTCTATAGAACTTAAGTCAACAACAAAAATATTTTTTTTGAATGGGGGGAGGGGGAAGTAAGCATTTATATAAAAAAAAAACATACAACATATACAGATTTCATTATGGAAAAGTCGTAAGGGGATATACAAAGTATAGAAAATAAATCCAATATATTACATACAATCACTGGTACTGATAAATCAAAAGTTAACTTATTTGTCATATTACTTGCCAATGCTTGTAAAATAAATATCGGATATACCTATCCATTTCTTAAGGATATACAGTTATATATCCGTCATATTGTGAGAATTGTTAGGGTTTATATTTACCCCATATCATCATACAATCAAGGACTTGACCAGATTCTGGTATAACAATATAACATTCAAAATTTAAGTCTCTTTTATACGAGGATATGGCATTTATTTAGATATAATTGATGGAAGATTTAACTGTATTTCTTAAAACACCCTTTATTTTGCACAAGGATAATGGAGTGATGACATTTGTCACGTGTAGGAAATAAGAGTGAAATGAGCAATATAGTCTTTTGGTCGCGATTAAGAAGTGATCATGCACTTAAAGGAGTACAATTAACGTAGCTATCGTTAAACGTCATAATTGTAGCCATATCAACTAACTTTGCACAAAAATGTATACACATTGTATTAGTATGATGTATCGTATTTGCATACAAATCTGTGCATTATACCGATCATATAAAACAAAGGGAGACAGTTCAATGCTTACATATATATGCTAATGTGATGTACATCGGAGGTGTACACCTGTTGACACCATTTCCATTGCCGGCCTATCTAGTGATAAATGATCTTTATCCAACATTTCAAATGAGCAATTCAGCATAATTTGACAAAGTATAACAGAATACTGTACATGAATTCTTTGCTTTACAGGTACATTGAAATTTACTACATTACTCAATTAGGTGGAATTGCCTTTTTCAAGAGTATGCTAATGAACATGAAAGCTAAACCTTTTAATTTCTGTACACTGAATATTCGGAATTTCATAACACGAGACGAGAACACAGATACTTATTTTTATATATAATAGATACTTTTAAATAAATCGTGTACAGAGCTTATTTATTAATCACGTACAATATTAAAACATTAAACGTGAAACATATGGTTTATATACCTACACTTTCTATGCCATCTGACACGTAATAGTAAGCTAAATGTTCTCTTTCCTGGATAGGTCTATCGAAACATTTGGTGGTGTGATATTTTATGATATTTCCAAAGGGTTAAGACGGATGAATTACTTTTCACAACTATGACTTCATGTTCACAAAACAGATTTATGACAACACGTATCCATGCCCTCGTTGATGAGACATATGGCTCTCAACTCGTGGAAGGCATAACTCAAACGGTAGGCAAACATCGTATTTGCTCACTAAATTAGCTTTCCCCACGGTGTAAGATAACATAATTTACCTCGAAACGGAATGAAAAATATTATTTGAAATCTTGTTTGTCTTGTTGTGATCTCTGTTTTGTCATTTTGCAGCAATTGAGGTTCGTATTGAGCCATCTGCTGCCATACTGGTATTCGGGATACATCGGTATATTGATACCTGTAACATATCAAACGAACAATGGTAGGCAATTAACTACGTCAGATAAATGGAAAAAAGTTAAAAACAATCAATATCATAAAAAAGGAAAATGTCCAATTAGGGAAAAAATTGGTAAACGAATTAAAAAGGGAAAATAAGAGAATAGAAGATTTTATGAGCAAAACACGTGATTAATTAAAGAAACAATACACGTTTAAATATTGTTTAGCGCTGATCAGTATTCGACGCTATGATATCTTAAAATGTACTTGCATACCGAATCTATCTACAGGAGGTGACAGTATTTGAGATATGGCTTTGGTAATGTGACATACTGAAAGACTTATAGGCAGAGTGAGTGACAGTGCAAGGCTAGCCTACAGTTCCTTTTCGTGGTATCGATTTAGGTATAACACATGCCAGCGTTTACCGATCAATATCTCTTAAATAAGCGTGATGATGTTTAAAAAATATTGCACAAATAACCAAAACGTTATCATGATCGAAAATATAGATAAAGTTTTCATTTGTCAAGTGTTGAAATATATTAAATCTTTCATGAAGCCGCATTTCCAAAAAAAAAAAAAAAAAAAAAAGAGAGAAGATATTAACCATTTATCATAAAAAGTGTTTTTTCATGTTGATTTAAATAGCCTTATTATTTTATCATTGTAGTATTACAAATTAGGTACTTCTTTAAACAGCGCAATGTCTTGCACAATACTACAAAAGTCATAATAAACATTATTTGAACATATCTTTTAAAGTCATTAAAGCATACCTCGTCAATGCAGCCGACGAAACTTTTAAACTTCTTTCCCCATCCAAGTTTGATTCCACAGTGAGACCTGGCTATCCCACCTAAGATTTCAAAACAAGATAAAGTATATTAATTATCTCCAATGCATCACGATATCGAACATATTAATGATAAAAGGCAAAACACAAAATACGTTTTATTTGTGCCGTGGTAGTTCTGTAACTGTGTGTCAAAAGTCAAAATATATCAAAATATCAAAAGTGACAAAACGAGATGACAAAATTGAATGTTTGAAATGAATACATCAAAAAAAGCTACGTCTGACGAGCATAAAGACAATTTAAATGAAAAATATCAAATACTATTTCTGATGTGTCTATTGTTTTTCTTTTTGTTTTTTCATTTTTTTTAGTTGTCTTCTTTATGGATTTTCATTATTCTTGTCTCTTTCAGCTATATTTTTATACTATATAATATTAAAATAAATCAGGCATGTCAGATTGATTAACAAAAACGCCTACAATGTATCCTAAGAAAACTATTTAATGTTTGTAGAATGGTTTTGTTCAATGGTTATTATGATACATTATTGCGTCACATGACATTATATCATGATAGTATATTGCAAAGTATCTATGTAGAAACGTGTATAAACAGGGCTACATAAATCTTAGGTTTCCAATAACGAAATATTGTGATTAGACATGGTGATATGAAAACATCAAAATATTCAATGTTCATAAATAATCACTTTCTCTTAACACATGTGTTTCGCAAATATACACCATTTGAAATTCCGCAATATACTCCGTAGTGTAAAATCATAAATTTGCTGCTACCTATCGGTTTATTTCTATTTGTATCTATAACCGCCTTTGAATTCACAGATATACAGATGATTTCTTCTTATCGTATGTGTTATCTAGACTTGTTCCAATTACTTTTTTCAAACAAAGGTATTGAGACCATTTAGCCTGAGGCATTGTGTCTTGACCGAGTTGACCAGATGATCACTAGTTGACAAGCCATATATATTGTACACGATGTGTCTGTCAGCAATGTGATGGTCAGTTTTTGTGTGCAGTTACCGATGGACATACCATGGACAGTAGTATACATGAAATTATGATTAATGGGACTATCTCAACAACACTCGAGTCCCATAAACGTATGCGTCAGAAGAATATAAGACCAACTTCGATTTCTGTTCTGTGAATGTATAATTTGTAAAATGCAAAAGAACCGTATTCTGGCAAAATTTGAAAATTGAAGACATATACCCACACAAATATACACATCAATGACATCCTCTCCTTTATCTAATTTTAATAATAAGTTGATAACCATAATAATAGATTATTACTAATTAATCCATTGAGGTGAAAAATGAATATTAAGTTTTCGACAGAATAAGAGTAATTGGTAGTGGGAATATAAATCTGTAGATGAGATAAAAAAAAAAAAACAGAAAATAAATGAAAATAAATCCACAACGATCATTATTAATTCAAACTTTTCGTTGACGTGTCTCTGAACATTTTTAGAACATTAATCCAATATTTCTTAAGCGTTACTATATCAATATCTACTCTCCAATATACATATATCTACATGTGTATTAATGATGCTATCCGTTATATACTTCAGCGTTGCCTGGCTTTATTGTGATGAAGACAGATTCTAAACGGTAGCAATATCATACGTCATTGTTACTCTTTATTGTTAATTGAATGCATGAAGAATTTCCTTTATGGTAAAGTAAATATCAATTACATATCGCTTATAACGCAGTGTTATATGTATACAACAGCTACTATACTCAGAATTAGGGAAGTATTGTTTTCGGTATGCTATGTATTAACAATATCAACACCTACGTTGATTAATTGATGAATTTATACTCATCAATCATCCGTCGTTGAAAAGAAATATTCACATAAGTAAGCGAGAAATCGGCAGAAAAAATGAATGATTATCTAAGTCATAAATGTTTTGAAATATAAACTACGTATTAAATTGCATTGTTGTTGATACCATGTGTAGATGATTTCCATATGCTGTACATACTTAACATCAAATCCGTCTTCTTATATGACGCAAAAAGTATATGCAATGCATCTTAGATAGCTTAATGTTATATCAATCTTAACAATAGACTTGGTGTGTTTAGTTAGAATACATGGATGAAATTCACACACTAAACATAGATGTTTACAGGGTTAACGTGTGTTAAGTTAGAGTACATGGATGAAATTCACACACTAAACATAGATGTTTGCAGGATTAACATGTGTTTAGTTAGAATACATGGATGAAATTCACACACTAAACATTGATATTTACACGGTTTACATGAACCATATTGTTATCATTTTTATTATTTTCCTTTCACAAACATATAGCGTAGCCAAGGTATCTTATTTTCTAATCAACAATTTAATATGATAATGATGTTGCATTTTTCTTTCTTTGTGTTTTAGAGTATCACAATTATGACATCGGTATTGTTTTGTGTTTAAAAGTGATGATGTGTTAAGTGATAATGATAAGTGATTTTTTTTTAAGAAACAGAACAGATGATTGATGATATCATTGACAATGTGGGATTGTTGTGGCGATATTAATATACACTCAAAACTGATTTGGTAGTTATATAGCATAGTGTCAAATACCGAAATACGTTTCAGGTTAAGCCTTTAACATTGAACAACTATTTAGAAAATCATTGTACAAGGTAGAGAAATATTATGTATAATGCTAATGGTTATTTTATCATTTACCTGAGACGTCTAAATCCCTAGCGTTGAATCCAGATTGACCCTCAAGTCGCCCCCCGCTGATGGTTACAGTGACATCTCTCCAGTCTGCGGGATCAACCTACATTCCATTTAAGTTATAAATGTCGTATGAAAAAACATTATTACTCTTTAATAGAATATAGCCATTTGCTGAAGTAAGATGACATTACACTGAAAGATATCTTGAAATTCAATCAAAATAGAAAAGTTTTATCCATAAGACATCAAGTAATTTGAATAAGCAGTAAATATGCATTCAATGTATTCAGATAAGATGTTTCTGTTCACAATAGAAATTTGCCATGAAATTACTTTAATATTTTATGTCAATTAATATTTTACATAAGATTATTTGATATTTACTTGCATTCACATTTGTTTAATTGGTTAAGAATAACATGATTATACGATCTTATACGAAGTGTACAGACGAACCTGGGGAAAACTTTTGCTGGTATTCAAAATTTTACATACTAAAGCAAAAAACAACTTGTAAACAGAACTTCTAGCAAAAAAAAAAAAGATACAGAATATATCAGACATCTTTATATTTTCTGTGATTTCATAACTGTCTGACAAACTGCTTGACATATATACATGTAAAAAGTTGTCTTTATTCTTACTCCCAGCACGCCATACCAATGAATTTGAAACAGTACCAATCTTTGTAAAATCCTACCATAAATTCAACTTACAGATGATGGAACCCAAGATGTCTGAAATGCTCCGGTATTAGTTTTTACGGAAAATGAATTTCCTGATGGTTTTGTGCCCACAACTAATGTTGGAATGTCTTCACAGTCGCCATTGTACAACAATGCTTCGGTGTCTACTTTAAGGTCCATTTGCTTGTATCTGATTTTCATAAAAACAGTTTTACCGAAATCCATATTTGCAAATTTTGGCATAGCAATAACAGATGTACCATCGAAACACGCAGCGCCATTGGAAAGTGTAACGTTTTCAGTCCTAACGAAGGTTTTGCTTCCGGAATAATCCTTGAAATCAGTGTCAAACGGGAGAAAAACTTCAGGTTTGCAATCTAAAATGAAAAGGAAGAGTATTTATATTTGCGTAGTTAAACTGAGGTTGTTTATGATTGTAAGATACATTTCATTATATCAACTTTGAATATTTGCGTATGGTTCTATTTTCAAATCTGAAGTGATGATTATTTTTTCATGATAACCGTCACCAAATAGAATGGTTTGTGGCCCATTTTCATCTATTTTTGATTTTGGTTTGTCATTTTGTTTTATCTATTTACTTTTTATTATTTTATAATTTTTCGAATTTTCTAGTAATCAAGGAAAGTAATAGCGTCCAGGAGAATATGATATGTGACAGAATGCACAATAATAGTTAAGTAAAATGTTTAAACAGTAGCGATGCATACCTCCTTGGAACGAATAGGTAGGGTTACCCATATGTGCTGGTATACAATCACATATCTCGCCTTTGTAAATCTGTCCAACACTACACTTCTCAGACACCCAGCCTGTCGAAACGTGTTTCTCATACGTCGTTACATCAGTTGTCACTGGTCTTTTGTTACAATTTACTAAAAGCAAAAAACAATAACTTGGATATAACAATGTCGCCGAAAACAGAATTTTATCAGAGACAGGAGAGTCTATATCAAAGGTATGATCATCTAAACAAAGAACAAATCAAAAGACATAGAGGCTAGTATGGAACCAACTTTATATAGCAGTCTTGTTTCTATGACTGTTCAAGACATACAATTTAAAAACACATTTTACAATTTTTTTGGAATTAGGTAAGTATAGGCAAATGATGAGATCTTTGCATCCTGCATTGTTTTTGTCCTTCTCGTAAAAGGAATGCACTCATTCACGTTCTCTATAATTAAGACTTGAAATAGCTATCACAAGTTTAATCAAATATGTAATTCATCAAAAAACTACACTTTTGTAATATTCACCTTGCCACATAAATTGTAGTGGGCTGCTGACCGGACATCTGTCAGTACAAACAGAGCTGTAAACACATCCCTCCCCCTGGACGAAAGTTCGACCCTCTGGACAACATCGGATGACCGAATGGCCTGCCTGACACTGCCAGTATGCTACACAATTGGTTGAATGAGAGTACTGGTACCCGTCTGTGAGCTTTTTACAATAATCTGTTGAGTGCGGAATACATATTATTTATTCAAACAGTAAAAATATTCAAATATTTCTATCCGCCACCATTCTGTATGCCAAAATAAAAGACAAATTAGCAACTCATGTAATTACATGTAAGCTAAAGGACCGATTTAGTAAGAAATAAACACAAATTATAATCTGAATGGAAATAGTTACAATGCCGCCCAAATTAATCCTCCCTTCATAAGTGATGAAAGCCAATTTTTCAAATCATGAAACGGATGTGTTCTCAGTGTCATAGTACTCCCACATACCACATCTCAACCAGGTCTAACGAACAAAAGTAGGAAAATTATACGGAACAAAAAAGATATACCCAAACTTTATTCTGGAGAAAATTTTAAGCGTTTTCAAAAACGAATTGTCTTTTCTCACTTATTTGGATATTGGGTTTCTCATTTTGTCTTATTTTATATACAAAGTTTCATATAAATCTTCTTGTTTTCAGTGTTATAACCCCATTACATTTCCAAATTTGTTTTGTTTGGGTTTTTTTTATTCATTTACCTTAGGTCCCTGTTTTTATTATATAGTAAAGTATTATTGTTATATGATATACAAAATCTTAAATGTGTTTCCTTATCATAAATCTCAAGTGAACAGCTACTCATGCAAGATCCTTTTAATACGACTTTTGAAGACATAATTATTTGTGTAAATGAAAAAATAAAAATAAAACATAGTATTATGTCATTATTTCATACCGACGATGCTGAGTATCTTAAATATCTTGGTACTTATAAGGTGTTAGCCAAAACCATTGACCATAGTATATAAGCCGGTTCTTGTGTATAAATTTACACCGTCAATGTCCAACCTGTCTTAAGGAATATATACTGTTTTTATACGTTGCTGATAATATCTTAACCCACACTGTGATCCCACACTGACACATCAGGGGAAAAAATGTCAAGCAATATGTTTATGCTCACGCCATTAACGCCCAAGGACAAATGCTATGACACTACAGGTCAAACCTATGGAGTCGTCTCAAGTGTTGAGTTAATAGGTAAAACACCATAATTATTCTGTTGTGGGGGAGTTATTATGACGTATATGGGGAATTATGTTATTACAATGATCAGTAGTAATATATTCTTCATGATAAAAAAAGTCCTGGTTATATATAATAATACATAACATATAAATGTAAACACGTACCATGATACAACCTGGACTGAATATTGTTAGCTTAGCACTAAAACGGTTCTGTTTTAGCTGCATTGTTATTTCAAGACGGAAAGATGTGTACATCGAAGAAAAACGCCAAGAGCAATAAACAAAAATAAAGGAAATAGAGTATTCGAAAATTAGATCACCATGACGACCTAAATTTCCCTCCAAACAGATAGAAAAACACATGTACAGTCAACCTATATGTACATATAAGAGACGTAATTTTAATGGTAGGCTAACCTTTGCTAATGACTTAAAAAGGTTTTTTTCGTTCTGTTTTCCTTGTTTTCGTTATCACATGTATTTACACAGTTGTCCCCATTTTTATGAAAGAAAGGGTCATCCAGTTTGTTATGTGAAATTGTTATTCGGTATCCATTTTTCATATTGCTGCCATATGTCTATAATCAGGCAGATTAACTATTGATATTGCTTCAAAATCACTGAAGGACTGCTGATTTTCTTTTAAGAACGTTTGATTTGTCCACCCGGCGGTATAAATGTGTTGTTGTAAACAAAGGTAAAAAAAAACGTCCATATCAATGAAGAAATACATGGAGGACGAAATTATGAAAATGATAGAGTTTCTCGGTGTCAACATTTTAGTCGAATGTGGAGGTGAGATCTTCCAACAGACTATTGGCATACCTATGGGAAATAACTGCGCTCCTCTGTTGGCTGACTTGTTCTTATTTTCAAACGAAGCAGACTTTATTGAAGAGCTTATCAAACCAGGTCACAAAAGTGGTTTTATTTCATTTTCAGATGTATTAAAACACAATAATGTTGTTGACCAGGTCCATTGTATATATCCACCACAATTGGAAATCAAAGACACGACAGACTCTTTTAACTCAGTTCCTTGTCTCGATCTATTCTTACAACGAAGCCAACATGGACACCCATCCACAAAGCTGTATGATAAACCTAAAAAAATCATTTTCCCTTTTGTGAATTTCCAATTCTGAATAGCAATAATCCTGCATTTCCAACCTATGGTATTAACATGCCACAATTGATTCCATATTCAAGGAGCTGTTCCCATTATTTCGATTTTCGTGCAAAAAGTCGTCAACTGACGAACAAATTCGTAATACTGGAGTTCAAATGAGGAAGGTTGACGAAAATTATGGAGAAGTTTTATGGTCGAGATAATGATCTCATCGAGAAACATTCTTTTCTTGTCTTATATGAAACTGGACGTCTTTGATGCTCGTTAATTTGGTGCATACCTTAATAAAGTATAGGAACGTGACATTTCGTACCGGATTTACCAAGGTTTACATGACAGGTGTCGTCGATGAATGGTCTTTTTTTGTACGTTTTCAAGAACATCGGTGTCAATCGTTTTTGATAGTATTTGGCCTAATTTTTATGGAATTTGAGTTTGGATTAAGATCATGTTGTCATGTTGGTATTTCCTTAATTCTCTTTGTCAAAAGACAAATGTCCCTCAAAATATATTTGACATAGGTATGCACGTTGTCGCAAATACATAACCGATTTCGTGTAGTGTACAGTCCTTATATGAGCATGTATTGATAATGAAATGACACAATTGTTGACATACATTCAAGTTAGAACCCCCAAAACTAAAATCTAAAGCTTGAACAGATAAACAAAAACAGCATGTTATTTCCTCTCACCGTTTTCGCAGTTTACATCCTTGGAAGGTTTGCAAGTGACATCAATGTTGCTCCAAAATTGACCATAAGGACAATCTTGGACATGGGGCTTAAATAGTCCAGATCGATCTGGATAGCAGACGACAAACTGATCGCAGCGGCTGGGATGTCTAATGTAGCCTAGCCCACCATCCATAGTACAACCCATACAAACATCTGCGTATGACAAAAAAAAAAAAAAAAAAAACAAGATGATAAAGAAAAAATAGCATTTAAAACGAAGAAGAGATCAACTACTTCTTTTCTTTTCATATTCATATTTTGGGGGATTTGGGAGAAAATTATGAATGACTGATATACTTTGTTATACAGTAGTTCATCACGAATGATTCAATTGACTAGAAATCGGTCATATTTGATACATAATTCCTCGAATTAAGCAAAGAGGATTTTATATCTTTTCTAACGAAAAAAAAAACATGTTAGCCAACGTTCCGGCTCGTTAGGATTTTCTTCCCTTTTCTGAAAGGCATTTTGTGGCAAAATTCCTTCACACTTTAATTGTGTCATCTGTAGTGAATATTATAAAGTGCTATGAATTATTTAAGTGTTGTTTATTTGAAAAAAACAACAACAAAAAAAAAAACAAACAAACAAACAAAACAAAACGAAAAAAAAAACAAAAAAAAAAAAAAAGCAAAAAACATAAATTTTGTATTAATCATCAGATAAGGTGTAATTAGATAATTAATTAACAATCCAAAACGAATGTTTACAAGACAACTACTTTAAAAAGGCAATCTACACCTGTGAAGTAACACGTGTTGCAAGTAGTGTTCGATCGGCCATCGAAGATCTTGCATATCTGGTGGCACTTATCTTTCAGGTAAAATAAAGTTGAACCAAGATGACTTCGCTTATTAAAACCTTACATTGTTTTACTGATATTTGTTCAAGTTGCAAATGCATTTTTGAGATATTTGCTACAGAAAGGTTAAATCGATGGATTGTCTACATTCTTCTATTTTTTATTGAACAAATAAATTCCATTAAAATACATTAAACTGTAGTTGGAATGAAAAGAGAAAAAAGCAAAAGGCAAGGTGTTTCCATCAACAGTCTAATTACAGGCATCTGACTCTAAAAAAAACAATCGATAGACAAGATACCATATGTCTTACTTACCTGCAGAGAGGGTATTGTCTCTGTTGATGTTGAGAGATGATAATTCCAGTCCAGTCTGAGTAACGAAACGTCCTTTCGCTGACGTGTCGGGTGCTGTTTCCTTAATCGACATGGATTTTTTGGCTGCTTTGACTATTGCTGTTTCTGCTGCTGATATTGTCAGGATCTGGTTTATGGATGTCTCTATTGCAGATTGGTCATTTAAAGGCCTCGGTACAATTTGAGGTACATTTTGGATGTTCACAAAACCAAATCCAGACTCATTGCTAGTTACCCTGGAAGACATAGATGCCTTAGTACCAGGCGTGTTCAAAGGTCTGATTGGCTGTTGTGGTGATTTTTTAATGGAGCCATCAAAGAGAACCTTTGTACCACCACTTGAAACTGCAGCTATTCCGATGTCTGTGTTTAAGCTGAAGGGACTTGATCCTACAGGCATTCCATCCGTCCTTTTCCTTAGGCTTGAATCACTGCCGAGCATACCTTTACCTACAATTCCGCTGTTTACGACATCAATATCAGTCCCACCTGTGTTTGCTCCTCTGGTTACCTCCATACCCATATTATCAATAAAGCTCCCTGTTTGAAATCCTTTTGTAAGCTCATCTGCAGAAAGTCCTTGAGTTGAAGTCTTCTTCGCTAATAAATCATTGTTGAATATTTCTCGAAATGAGGCATCGCTTGCAGTTATATCAACATTTACCATCCTATCAGCTGTGTGCATTTCGCTGCCAGGATCTTTAGTGTTCAACAATATCGTTTCCGTGACCAGTCTTGACGGTGGAGAAACTGGACTTTCCAAGATCCTCGTATCGGCAAGAAGCATTGCATTATTCATCATTGAAGGATCTGTTGGTAGACTGTTTTCAAATGAGGACGATGTGATGATCTCAGGATTTGCAGGCGGAATTGTGTTATCGCGTAAACCCATCGAGTTACCATGGACATTCGTTGCCGACAAATCTCCAGTTTTGGACCCAGATTCAAGCATACTATTTGCCATATTTAAGGCGATCAGCTGATCAATTAATGACATGGTCGTGCGGGAGTTAGGACCGTTTAGTAATTCATTAAAAGAGCCGCCGTTTAAATTGGAAAATGCTTGCTGTTGTCCATTTATAGATTCCAAACTGTTACCATTCGGAATAGTGTGTCCACCCACTTCTCCAGAGCCATCTCCATTTCTCATCAAAGCTGAAAACTGTTCAGCTCCATGTACGGTTGATAAACCTAGTCCGATTCCATTTGTATTAGTATTACCAGATTGCTGACCTGATTCGGTTATGTCTTTGCTTGATAATGATCCAACCATATTGAGCATACTGCTTTGATCAAAGCTATTTGCTCCATGGTCTGGATTGCGACTGGTGTCAAGTGAATTAAAGTTAAAACTTTGGGCTCCACGTGTCTCTGAAATAAAAGGGTCCATGATGAGATTTTCACTTATTACGTTTGAATCTCTGCCAGGTAGTAAATTAGTAGATCCAAAGTTGTTTAAATCAGAACCCGTTTCTATAGATTGCGACGGAATAATCAAAGAGTTCCTATCATTCAAGTTTCTTAATTTTGAAGTAGCAACATGGAGAGGAACATTGGAATTTCCTCCATGACTCAAACTTCCGCTTAATGTGTTACGTATGTTCAAATTAGAATTCGTTTCTGGATTCACATTTGTTGAGAAAGAATCACCATTATTAAAACCAAAGTTTCTGCCATCAGCCAAATTCGGTTCAATGATCCCACTGACCGTTGGTCCTCCATTACCATTAAAACCTCCAACTCCAATACCATTTGAGCGTAGAGGATCACCGAAACCGATGTCGTTTACCATTGTATTAAGATTTTCTCCTCCATTTATGAGGGTATTTCCATTGCCACCTATTCCTGTAGACATTCCTGGTGTTCTTCGACCGCCGAGATCAATAGTTTCTGTTGATGTTAAAGCTGTCCCTGCTCCAATGTTGTTCCGAAAGTTACCATTACTTGACGAAGACCCAGCTGCACCAAATCCATTCTTTAAGATGCTCGCACTAGCAACATTATTTGCTGGAAGACCGTTTCCGGATCCGGAGCCATCACGTGAAATATCAGGAAACCATTGTGTTCCCTCGATAGTGTTTGCATTACTTCCTAATATAGATTTGCTTCCTAAACTGTTTGAAAAGCCGCCATTGTTGATATTCAATGTATTTTGTCCGCGGTTTACATTTATTTTATTTTCCTGCCCTGAATTATTGTTTGATATCACGAGTTTCCTTTTGTCATTACGGTGTGGATGTTGTATATGAACGATCTGCTTTCCTTTCAGCAGAATGTCACTATTGATTGTATTTCTCTGCGTCAGCTGGTTTTGACGCAGATTATTTTGAAGTTTAAGTCTATGTTGTCGAAGTAACAATGCGTTTCTTCGATTGGAATTCAAGTTTTCTTTAGCACGGTGGCCCTTTATAAAATTTGCAAGCTGAAATGTATTATGATTAATGGAATGATGTAAATCGGCACCGGAAGTAGATCTCATATCCACTTGACCACGCCCATCCTGAGTAAAGTACAGGTTTCCCGAACCTTTAGCCATGGATGGCTGAAGTCTATGCATTCCAACACCAGTATGTCGGCGGAAACCTACAAACAAAATACCAATATAATTCTGTAATACAAATTATATTGTCACTTATGTGATGTGAATCCAAAAAATGAAATAAATGAAACAAAATAGTCCAAGTATCTTCATTTAGATTTTGTTTTACTTATGTAAATATTTGTCAACATCACAATGACGTCATTTTGTTTACAACAGCCGTGTGTGGTGTCCATCGGGTGACATGCGAACGTATTCATTTCCGTTTATTCAATCCACTTTTGGTGCTTGAAAATATTTAGAAATTTGTAGCAGCGGACCTTTCCCCTCGAGTGTGTCACAATCACATGGACGATTTATCGATACGATTTCAAAGTCAATATGTTGTGGAAAATGTGGAAACAGTTCCAGAAATCCCGGGTTATTATATAAACTCATTACTATTCAGTGAAATTGGCCCTAATCGGGAACATGGCTTACTATTATGTGATTGATATCTTTTCCTTGCATGTATATTCATTAATTTTTTAGCTATAAAACGTAAATAAGTGACAGCTGTGATATGGACGATATCGGTTATTAAAATCTTACTACATTTGCGATCAGGATCTACCACATAAATCTACCACAGAATAGCGTTAATAGTGTTATCGAATGAGCTACATTTTTAAACTGAAGACAACCTTAATTTGGTTTTTTTATTTAACGATATTCCTCCCTGAATGACATTTCATCCGAGGCATTACATATCACTTAATTGATACCAAATGAACCAAATAAAACAGGGCGCATCGAGTATGGCGTCGGAGTAAGTTATCGAATAGTTCAGCTCTAACAATTCACCACGTCCTTTTTAAAGTATTTGCCCCAGAACACGTCAATCCAGGATCCATAATTCCATAACACCATATATACAGCCATGAACAGTATTGTAATCAATGAACTACACAAGCCCTCCCCTCTACCGCTTTAGTTGGCAGATCCTTCCCTAAATGTGAATTAGGAAAACGACCATGAACTTATGTATGTAATTTATCAAAATGTTACAAAATAATTCCTTGTCGACAAATTATTTCTAATTCATTTCAACTCTTCGTCTGAATTGGTTGACGTCATTTTATCTTTTGGATGACAGTTAATAAAGACTCCTATAACAGTATTACTTTGGTTTAATTGGTATTCTACGATTTTGTCCCTGATCATGTTTTGAATAATTGTAAATTGTTTTAATTATGTTGAATAATTCATCCTACAGCATTGATTAGTATGAATTAGTCGAAATAAGCTCCTACACTGATCCTTCAGAAAGAGTCTAACATAAAGAAAGATACATTATATATATGTGTACAGAAACTTTTATTTCTAGTGGAAAACTTTCATAGTCAAGTAGACTTTAGGAGAGTGGTTTTTTTTTTCCTTTCTATCTTTCTTGTTTTTTATGCATTGATAAACAGCACTGCTGATGATCTTTGTTGATCAAGGTCTGATATACGAGTACTCTTACAGGTATATCATAGATAGTCCCTTTTCCCAGTTTACCTTTGACGAGTTCGGTTCCGTTTCGTGACAATTACCCACATCCTATGGAATGGAATAAGTAAAACAGAATGTCACCTGGCCGTGAAACTGCTGATTTGTGGACAGACTGACTAATGTAGGTCAGTCATGGTAATCAACCTGTCGGATATTAGTCAAATACACCATTATATTCGGAAATCACCAGGTCAATCGACTGTTGCCTAGCAACGAAGGAATGAGTAATTTACGATCAATGGAAGAATCTAGCATTTTGCACAAACTGACAAGCACCAAAGATTGATTGAACAAATAGTATTATATTTTCATAATAATAATTAATTCAAGGAAGGGTATGCTATTCAATCATGCAGTGAGCCATTTATGTTATAAGATAGTGTTATACTTGGGCGAATTTGAATTAGCAATTAGCACATTAGTAAACGATATAGATGTTCAATTCAGAGAGAGGTTATCAAAATTATCACCTCACTCAAAATCATTTGCTTGTAAAAATTATCAACTTGGAACGGGCGATATAGTGCCAATGCTGGCCAATTGTACTTATATAGGCGGTTACATTTTTAATATATATCTATAGGTTACAGAGTGAAAACTGGACAGATTTCATGGTTTCTTGGTAATTGCCAAATTAAGATGCATAGAATATGGACCACATGTTATGAAAACAGCACAGTGAGCACAGAACATGTTTCGTCCTTAATGTCTCAGTAAGGAATGATGATTTCAGCTTGTTCTATAGATTGTTAATACTTTTGGTAAGAAATCGGAACTGTAACTTCAAGCAAACTAGGACACTATTTTAAATGTGGTATTTTGAAGTTTTTACAGGATGTTTACTTCTTTGTTTGAGAGTACTTGTAAATTTCCTAAGGTTTTAGTTCATTTAGACTTCTTCAGGAGCTAAAAGTAACGACATCAGATATAACTTTACATCATTTCGCTCGACATAAACTTTATATGTTAGTAATGCGTAATGTCATATTGTTGAATATATACTGTACAAAATATGTTAATTTTAGTACTATTCTAAATATTTACATTTCCATAAATATAAGGAAGAAAAAAATACGTCCATATCATGTGTGGTGTCATACCAAACTAGACGTATACTTTTGGGGATTACAACTAAAACATACAACGGTTTTTGTTTTCAATGCTGCAAACAATTTATCCGTAGTTATACTGTACAGAATTCGGATCATGATGTACTCGTGTACAAGATTTGAAATCATTACAGCGCAGCACGCGTGTTGTTGATTTCCACAGTATTTTGTTTTCTCTCTCTACACCTGTTTTTTAAACTTGAACTTTATAGAATAGATCAAGACGACAAATTGGCCGTAATACTGTCATGAAATATCAATTCCCAGATTGTATGACATGTTATTGATCTGTTTTTTGTTTTAAATATATCAGTTTTACACGTTTTTCTATTTCTATATTACAAATTCTATAGCGCTAAGTCTTGCGCGTTAGACCTGAATTCGTCGCATATTGTGAAAACGTAGATTTATCAGACATGTAAATATAACACTTAATCTTAATTCATCAATTAACATTACCAGCCTTGTGACAAGTAACGTCTGCTTTTATATTTTTAACAAATCCAGATATTATACATTTTTAACACAATTCTTTCACACGAGAAGTGCGTAGAACTTCATGTGAAAGATTATCCATCATTATGTATGACGTATATCTTAAGTAAAACTAACTATAATAACACAAGTAACGATCTAAAAATGCATTTAAAGTTGTATGAGACTTGTGGTGAATTTTAAGCGGATTTTTTTCGGTCACTGCTGATACATGTGATCATTAGCACTTCTTATTTTAATGAAACCCCGTCATATTGTGCAGTAAATGACAAATATACATTACTTTATAGTATTTTATATGAATTACTTAAATCAGCTTTTGTTAGTATTAATCTGGACATTTTGGAGCTTTAAAGGTTAATTGAGATATGTTTAATACCTGATAATCCATTAATGGGGACACACGAACATCTCCTGTGAACAAATCTCCAACCTTGAGGACAGCACTTTATTTCCCATGTTTCCGGACCGTTCCTTTCCAGATAGTCTCTCCCGGAATTCCCACCAAGAGGCTGCTTATTTGGACAGAACACAGTAGCGTAAAGGGTAACTATGGGCAACACTTGTGCCAACGTCATGATTTTGGCGTTATGTGATAATCCGCATAGAAAATCCCATGTTAAAACTAGGCTTGGGAAATGGTTTCAGTACCGTCAACACCAAGAAGTGTTCATGCTGTCGATTCCGGGCAGAACGTGTATCCGCTAACACGACTATAACAAAACTGATGTTTTTGGCACTCGCTTGCTATAAAGTGATCCGTCATCCGTCCTGTCCTCCGCTTTGCCAAGTCAATGACAGCTGACGTAGTCAATACACAACACTAGTGCTTTATTCACATACCTTCCCGGATATGAAATAAAAAAGAGTTGTCTGTGGTTTTCAGTTCCATTTGAGGAAGCACGAAATGGATCCAAATGATTGCTCGAAGCACAGGAATGAAAAAAACGTCGTCAACAGATTTCTTAATAATAGGGCTTTGAGCCAGATGTTTGGAGATCGCTTTGTTTAAAAATGTGAAAAGCACCATTAAGATACAAGTTTAAGAATAAAATTAGGAGAATGAAATGTGTTTTGTGAAGGTAGAACTTAAAAGATACCGATTTAACCAAATGATGCTGCGATTATATTTAAATTGAAGACAAATCATCCGAGAAAAAAAACTTTTTTAAAAGTGACGTTTTTAAAGTCATTCTTTTATTCAATTTTGTTAACAGGTGCGTCAAAAGCTCATTTCGAAATCCCATGGTTCAAGAGGTAATTAGTGTCGTCATAAAAATGATTGTTATACAATTATTAATATTAACAGGATAATATTGTGATAAGACAGAAAGGTGTATATTCTTCCTTCTACGGAGATGTCAATTAATTGATTGATTTTATGAATTAGGTGTTTATTTCAGCAATATAGATAAAAAAACAAAAATAATTATAAAACCGTTAATGCCCGTAAATTGATCAATTACAGAATCATTCATTTATTTAACAAGGCGTTAGTAAAGCGATTAACTTCAATGCTTTTTTCTATTAAGCACATTTCACGGGATATGAAGCAAATCTGTATTTGACATAATCGATCTGTCGAAGTTTGACGTGGCGTAACACGCATACGAAACGTTGAGTTGAAAATGTCTTTTGTACTTGACTTTTTTTCGGAATTCAAAAGAAAAAACCATGTAAACTGTCATTTTAGTCGTTTTTATCGTATTAAATGATCAGAATATCAGACAATGAATAGTTATGCATAATTATCAGAAGTGATAGTGCATCTCTAGAGCATTGGAACATTAGAATACAAATTTTGTGACAGTATATTTTTTATATATATACATACATACTTATATATACATACTATATAATTATCACTTGTAAATTATATTTAATGTATACATACTATATAATTCTAACGTGTAAGTTATATTTGACGGAAGCACTTTAAGCAAAACTTTATATATAATCACATTTTGGTGGGTTTTTTTTTTTCATAAATATCCTTGGCAAGAGTATCTAGACCGGATGATATTAACACATCTGCAGTATTGTGTATTTGTCTTTGTTACGTTTAGAAGGGAAATAATATAGTTGTGTTAGATAAGAACATGTGTGACCTTCTCATCAACACCTATTCTGTATAGTTGTGTTAGATAAGAACATATGTGGCCTTCCCATCAACACCTATTCTGTATAGTTGTGGTAGATAAGAACACGTGGTCTTCACATAAACACCTATTCTGTATAGTTGTGTTAGATAAGAACATGTGTGGCTTTCTAATCAACACCTATTCTGTATAGTTGTGTTAGATAAGAACACGTGGTCTTCACATAAACACCTATTCTGTATAGTTGTGTTAGATAAGAACATATGTGGCCTTCACTTAAACACCTATTCTGTATAGTTGTGTTAGATAAGAACATGTGTGGCTTTCTAATCAACACCTATTCTGTATAGTTGTGTTAGATAAGAACATATGTGGCCTTCACATAAACACCTATTCTGTATAGTTGTGTTAGATAAGAATATATGTGGCTTTCTAATCAACACCTATTCTGTATAGTTGTGTTAGATAAGAACACGTGGTCTTCACATAAACACCTATTCTGTATAGTTGTGTTAGATAAGAATATATGTGGTCTTCCCATCAACACCTATTCTGTATAGTTGTGTTAGATAAGAATATATGTGGCTTTCTAATCAACACCTATTCTGTATAGTTGTGTTAGATAAGAATATATGTGGTCTTCCCATCAACACCTATTCTGTATAGTTGTGTTAGATAAGAACAAAAGTGGCCTTCCCATCAACACCTATTCTGTATAGTTGTGTTAGATAAGAACATATGTGGCCTTCACTTAAACACCTATTCTGTATAGTTGTGTTAGATAAGAACATGTGTGGCCTTCTCATCAACACCTATTCTGTATAGTTGTGTTAGATAAGAACATATGTGGCCTTCCCATCAACACCTATTCTGTATAGTTGTGTTAGATAAGAACATATGTGGCTTTCACATCAACACCTATTCTGTATAGTTGTGGTAGATAAGAACACGTGGCCTTCACATCAACACCTATTCTGTATAGTTGTGGTAGATAAGAACACGTGGCCTTCCCATCAACACCTATTCTGTATAGTTGTGGTAGATAAGAACACGTGGTCTTCACATCAACACCTATTCTGTATAGTTGTGGTAGATAAGAACACGTGGTCTTCACATCAACACCTATTCTGTATAGTTGTGTTAGATAAGAATATATGTGGCCTTCTCATAAACACCTATTCTGTATAGTTGTGTTAGATAAGAACATGTGGTCTTCACATAAACACCTATTCTGTATAGTTGTGTTAGATAAGAATATATGTGGCCTTCTCATCAACACCTATTCTGTATAGTTGTGTTAGATAAGAATATATGTGGCCTTCCCATCAACACCTATTCTGTATAGTTGTGTTAGATAAGAACATATGTGGCTTTCTAATCAACACCTATTCACTTAAACACCTATTCTGTATAGTTGTGTTAGATAAGAACATGTGTGGCCTTCTCATCAACACCTATTCTGTATAGTTGTGTTAGATAAGAACACGTGGTCTTCACATAAACACCTATTCTGTATAGTTGTGTTAGATAAGAACATGTGTGGCCTTCTCATCAACACCTATTCTGTATAGTTGTGTTAGATAAGAACACGTGGTCTTCACATCAACACCTATTCTGTATAGTTGTGTTAGATAAGAACATATGTGGCCTTCCCATCAACACCTATTCTGTATAGTTGTGTTAGATAAGAACACGTGGTCTTCACATCAACACCTATTCTGTATAGTTGTGTTAGATAAAAACATATGTGGCCTTCACATCAACACCTATTCTGTATAGTTGTATATAGCCGACTTACAAGCACCTGAGTTAACTACATACTGTCTTCTTTTTATGGAACTATTGCCAATGTTTAAAGAATTTTTACTATATTGTGGAAACAAAATTTAAATTCAAATTTGCTTAAATTGGGGCAAAATATGAACAAAAGAAACAAAGATATCAATACTACAGAACAAGGACACGGTGTTCCAGAAGAGTAAATGTATTCTGCTTCATCGACTTTACCCACGAGTATCGATCACATCTAACTTTATATCACACAAGGATATGACGGCCATAAAACTTTCCCATATTTTCATTAACCCATATATTCCCTATTCATGTGTGGTACATTCACTAATATTGACAAATAGTTATCAAATATTGAAGAAATGACATATGAACATCAAATCCAGAAATGACAATTACACAACAGGGAAATAGAATTCATCACTCTTATTAGTTTCTTTGTAAGGAAAATTCACGGTAAAAAGCTGATGTAGAAGCTGATCAGATGCCATGTTACTTAAAGAAAAGATATCATCAATTATTCTAATAGTGAAGAAATGTTTTGATAAGCTCGATAATCTCAGTCGGGCAAGAGAACGATTTCGACGTTAACCGGAGTTTCGAGAAGAAATCAGAGAAAATTTCCGTAGACAATACTCGTCAAGACGATGGTGTTGATACTGGAACACTGGAGAACCTTTATATACATGTTTTACCAATTCTTATGTATTTCAAACACGTCGACGTGGTTGGTTGGCTAGTTTTCTCTATATGTGTTTGATTTAAGTGATTAATGTTGTGTGCTGTATCGTTATGTTTAGTATACTTGAAATACAATAAACAAATGTACAACAGTGATTAATATGTCTCCATCACGTGTCAGCAGCTGATGTCTGATACACCTCTTCATTAGTAGATATACGTATGTCATGACTTACCCTTTGTAAATTATCACGAAAGTTTCTCCTTAGTAGTTTAACAAACTTACTAAATGTTGATCCAATCCATCTAGATTTTTTTGGTTAGCCATTAATGATTGATAACAATTTGAGAGAAAATGAAGCGTCCGCTTCTTGCCATCCCCAGCCCCAATTCTCATTTTGACACAGTCTTGAAGAGCAAGAATAACTTTAATTTTTTACGCTACAAATAATGTTTTTTAATGCAACGATAAGAACAAACCTTCGTTCTCAATGCAAGTTTTTTGGCAAGGGTTTGACACCTCAAGTAAGCATTATCACAATAAAACTGTAACCCTGATTTGTTCATACTATGTATTATGACTGGAAATAAGGATGTTGACGCATGAATAAAGTTCAGGAAATCTAAATATTTTCTTTGTATTGCTCAGTGACATTCTTTTATTCACCTTCATCCAATCCACATATTTTTTCCTTCTGGATACACTGATTCCCTCACAATGGTAGTGTACCAAAACATGATGTACACACTAACGAAACTATAAGACATGTATTTGTATAACATTTTATTGATAAATGCAAAATAAAGAACTGCTATGTCAAGATATTTACACAAAAACGTATATATCTTTAACTAAATCGCTCAATTTACAATTTGAGTAAGATATATCCACTACTTACCAAAAATTTCATGTTGAAAATATTTCCAAACTATTCAACTATATAGGAGGTATGGATCACTTAAATATGCGTCATCTTCATTATCTAATCATCATGTTAAAAAGCATTCTAGACCCCCATACAACATTATATGTATTGTCAACACCGACGTTTGTTAGAAAATCGCATACCCATATGTTGGAATTAGTCCTTCATATTTATTTTTGTAGATAATAACTCAGGATTTCAACAAAATTCGAGATGGACGTCATATATAACAATGGCAATATGTAACAAAGATCACGATAATGATTTGCAACGTTTTACCTTGAAAAACTAGTTGAAATGTAACTTAAGAAAAATTGTTTTAAAGAAATGGAACATTATAATGTTTATGTCAAATTCTATGCCTTTTGTCATATGAATCGTCATATGGTAATACATAGCAATATATTAACTAGGTTATTGTTGAAGGGTGTTCTCAAAGCCGCCATGAATTACTTATATAGATAGCAATATATTAACTAGGTTATTGTTGAAGGGTGTTCTCAAAGCCGCCATGACTTACTTATATAGATAGCAATATATTAACTTAGTTATAGTTGAAGGGTGTTCTCCTAGCCGCCAGGTATTACTTATATAGATAGCAATATATTAACTTGGTTATAGTTGAAGGGTATTCTCCTAGCCGCCAGGTATTACTTATATAGATAGCAATATATTAACTTGGTTATAGTTGAAGGGTGTTCTCAAAGCCGCCACTTATATGCATTTTTCATCTAAAGGAAACCATTATATAGCGTGTTTGCTGGAATAACTCGATTTTGTGCATATTGTTCCGTAAAGGAAAATATCCATCATTTCACCTACATAAAATTATACCACTTACAAGTAGAAAAATGCTAATAAAAGATTAAGCTATTACAGGCCCGTTTCGCAAACGCAACAATAAAAACAGTTGCTGGTCTTTTCGTACAAAATGAAAATGCTACTTTACGTTAATGGTTTGTTTACAATATCGATTGTTAAATAACATGCAACGATTATAAAAATGGTTGTATAAGTTGTAAAAAAAACATAGGCGAAGATCTCATTCAATCGTTTTACGTCATCTAAGTAATCAAAAATACTTCTATATCGTTTATAAGAGGATAATATCTGGATGTCTACCTGTGTGTTAAAAAGGATATATTCATAATCATAATTGTATACAAAATGAATCAATATATGCATAATAACATAAAATAGTATTTCTCTTTTCATTGCAGAAATTCAAATCTTCGTTGTTATCTCATTATAAGCGTTATTTTCAGTACCAAATTTCATTTCATCAGGTACTTCTTTTGGCAAACCAGAAGCGGTAACACCGGAGTGTTGGCGCGAAAGTGGTCCTTGGTATCCGTCACTAAGGGTCACGCTAGGTCGTGGTTGGTAAGGAAGGGCTGACCGACATGCTCTGTACGTTCCCACTGACCCGAGAGCCTGGACAATCAAGTTGGTTAGAGTACGCAAACGATCCCTGGAAAAGTACAAACATTTGTTTTGGTCAAAATAATACAGGAAACAACTGGTAATTACTGCAGTGATGGTCAGTATCAGGCGACGGTCAGCGACACTGGTATTGATTTTTTTATATTAAGGTATCTACAAAGTTTTTTGACAAAACAAAACTGTTGACATTTCGACATGGACAACATCCCTGACAGTCCTGTTTATTTATATGCTGTAGCACTCAATCACAAAAAACAATTAGAGGAAGCTACCTATGACAGATACATAGAATATATATAGCATAAATGATCATAACTTCATTTATTGTCCACCTTAAGCCATTATGACTTTTTCCTGTTAATATATTGTGGTATGTAAACACCTACACATGATAACAATGGTGTTTATATATCTATATCTTTCAAGAGCATTCGCAAAATTTTGGTTCTAATTAAGAATTGATTTCATTGTTTTTGAAATGGTGAATTCAAATGATAGCTGTATTAACTTTATTTCAAGCATGAATTTTGTATTTTTGATCAATATTTTTTCTATGAATCAAAATAATTGAAGGAACTCTTATATTTTATCAAAAAAATATCAATGTGTTTTCCTTTTGTTTCCTTTCATATGTCTTCCATGAGGTTATTTGACAAACTGGAAAATATGCTAATGGGTACGATAAACAGTAGTTTTAATTGTGAATCGATAAAATGACACAAACAAAGAAAAGATCTATTCCGAGACTATTAAAATTATTAAAAAAAAGAAGAATAACAATAAGTGATATGGAATACATACACGATATGTACCTTAAAGCATTGATCATAAGAAAACAAGAAAATATCAATATATCAAAATAAACATAATGCAAACTCAAACTCAATAAACTAGGGCAAAATATCAACAAAGGAAAGATTTATGCGGAGACCCCTGAAAAAGCACATATACAAACCAGGCTAGTTATCGTGCGAATTCACCCATGAATATGTCACTATTTCAATATACTTTAAATTTTATTTTTGAGTGATCCAGTCAGAAATTAAATAGAATATGGACAATGACGCTACGTTGCAGGTTGAAAATGGCGAAACGAAATGGCTGCCTCTATTAGATATAAATATTTTGTTAAAACAAACAATATGGACAATGATTCAACTCTTATTGTAATACCAACGCTTTTTGTAATAATTCCTACATGAGGTGTTGCGACTGTTACATACATTATAATAAACTCCTTTCATTACATTGGCGTTGAAACTTTTAGACTTAATGTAATAATTTTGATTTTTATTACAATAAGCATAGCAGTCGTAACGATTAATGTAATATTTATTACCACACGAGTTGTTATTATATCTAGAATTGTAACACTCGTCTCAAAGTTTTCATTGTTGCTAGCCAAGGCTCGCAAAAATAAAAACCACGAAAACTCGTTTTTAAAAAAAAGTATATCAAATTTTGTATCTATATACATTAACACTTATCAACAACTGTTATTTATTTAATGATATATGTTACAATAATATCAGTAGTACTCGCTTAATAAACTTTTAGAGAATATGGAACTACGGTCGATCATAACTGTTGGCGAATAAAGTAGTATTTGCAATGAATAAACATATAAATATTTGCGTGCACCTGCAGGTAAACCTTACAGAACATTCACGAACATCAACAAATTTATGGACAAACATAAACAAAGAAATTTAATTATCTTTATCTGTACCGTCACTGACAGGCACGGAACTTATTTAATGCTGAGGAAATATTCTCAAAAAAGTCAAGCCACATCAACCTCAACAGAATTTCCCGTCACGAAAATCAACAGTTTTTTATAGGCTAGGGTGATTGGTTTATTTATTGTTAGTACATAAAATGTTTGACACACACTTTATCGTTTATTTCCATGTCTACACGCTGATGTTATGTCGGTGGTAGACCACAAACATAATATAATAATGAAGACTTCGATCTTTTCGGTAGAGAGAAGATCGTGTTCGTGATGTAACGGTCGAGTTATCTACATATTCCATAATGAGGGGGTTTTTTTTACCACTACACCAAGCATATCTTAATTAGGAATGGTGTATCGCGCAGATATTATGATTGGTCTTTTAACACTTAAAATTGTACAAAACACAAAAGTAAATAAAATCTTTTCTACACTAATTTATAATGTGAAAAGAATACTGAAGTAATGAAGTAAACAGCATCAAACAGCTGTTTCGTCCTTCTGGGACTAATCAGTGGAGTTAAGCTATTTTTTAAACCTAAGAGGCAAGTGAGAAAGACTAAAATTGATCAAAATAAAAGTTATAATGTAGAGGGACGTGAATTAAATACTAGCTTTCGTAATGTCAATACTGTATATTAGGTAATTAAAACAACACTTCAAGTACATATATGTATTATGAACAATGCGTGGAATGCAGGTAACAATACACTCACAGATTCAACTTTCACCTAAAACATCGGAGATTGTACATAAAAGAAAAGACCGTTCAATACAAGCTTTAGAATCAGATACAGTGGAGCCAAATAATAAAGTAAACTGTATAATTCAGCTGCTTCGTCCTTCTAGGGCTTGTCTCTAATGATAAGGGAATGTTAAACCAACGAGGTGACTGAGAAAAATTTTAAAGACATCGACAGAAATGTCCAGATGTAGACGAGGAGAAACATTACAAAAGTAAGTAAATTCATCTTGTAATTTCAATATATCCAATGATGTGTGTATTCTTACTCATGCCATTATTCGAATTAATTAAAATGTGGCAGGTTACCATAGGTAAACCAAGGGACTAAAAGTGTACCTTTAGTGTCTACAATGTTCCATATCTAAACTGGTATTGATGTATCCATTTATCATATAAAACGGCAGTAGGGTATTGCACAGACATTACTATCAGTTTTGTATTTGGTATTCTGTAAGTCTGAATACCCTTATCTTCCAACCTTCAATAACGTTATTTGCTTCTAATGAGTGAAAAAGAAAGAATAAGCTATATGTCATTAACAGTGTAATTTTAACAAGGAAACCAAATCATTTCCATCTGATATATGTTTTGTTGAAACACTGCATTCATCATGTTTCTAGTGATAGTCCAAAAGAAGAGCCCCCAGTTCGAAATCTGAATATTTTCTGTACAAATTAATTTTATAACAAAGCAGCACGTTCATATTTGTCTCTATACTTACAAAAGCCATTCAAGCGTAAAAAGTAGGGTGGCCGTCTCTGCTGGTAAACCCAGAGCAGTCAGCAAGATGATTACAGTGACCAGACTAGCCCCAGTTACAGACGGAATAGCCAGAGACGAGCACGTTGTCAATACGCTAAGGAGAGAATGATATGATATGATAAATGAGTACACAACACACAATTATCCATCCAGATATATTGACACCAAAGTCCGCACTATATTTGTAGTCGCTTAAGAAAAAAACACCGCTAATGGCACGATATTAACCTTCAACAAATAATATGCCATCTTATTTAATGCTTAGCACGGTAGTTATTCTAGCTATTCACCCATAATTAAGAACATATTAACCACTTTACATGAAATAGTCGTGAATATAGTTTGGCGATCTACATGTCACTTTGAGAACACCAATGATAAAAACATTCCGTCATAATGCCTTCAGAATGTTATAAAGACTACGTCGATGAAACCATGGGAAATGCTGAGAAGAAATACCTACCCATGAACAACCATAGAAAAACTGCAATCATAAATATGACAAGGTGTCGTTGAAAGATGGCCGAATGAATTCGACATCCGGAGGTTACAATAAAGGATAGTATGACCAAGTGTCTCTAACGGATGATTGAAACTGTCATCTGATACAGGAAACACTATAGCATTTGGTGTCAATGTACTCACCACACTAGTATAATTTTGCCAGCGTCCGTATCTGTCTCGGTAAGCTGCATGAGAAACACACATGTCGCCGCAATGTAAATGCTGCTTCCACAACGTCCCAGTGTGGCGGAAAGTGGCACCACAAATCTAGTAACGCGTCTATCTATTCTGTTAACATCCTCAAGAGCCTTCAGTGATTCCGGAATGGATATTGCTCTGTGAATATACAGAGCAGTTTACAAAAGGAAATGGAAGTAACAGCTTTAATATACAATGGAATTTCCAACTTCAGTGATAAATTTGGTAAATAGGAAGACAAAAGATGAATGGATGAACATCATAATATACCGTAAATTCAGTATTTTTCGAGGTGGATTTCTTTTCGTTGACTTCTTGGATTCTCTAAATCCATGAATTCATATGTTGACGAAATGATAAGCGCATAAAAGTTGGTGTGTATTTTAATTCAAGCGGTTTATCACGAACTCAAATAGCAACGAAAATGTATACCTTTGGAAAACAACGAAATTTGAGTTCAGCGAAAATAACAGATTTTTCGTTAGTTTGTTTGCTTGGTTTATCTTCCCGTGAACAGCAAGGGGCATTGAATGACATATGGGTGGTTTGTATGCCCTCCAGACCACTTAGGGTAGAGTGCATGGAACGATTTAGCGATCATGGTCCCGTCTGAGTATACAAAAACACACGGAAAACAACGTGGTATGTGATTGTCTTATTATTCATCGGACACAAATCTGTTTCAAGAGACTGTCACAAAATTGTAATCTGACCAATTAGAAATAGTGGTGATTTTCGTATGGTTATTTTATAACTTTATTCTCTGTCTGACATATGGTTACAATGATACAATGTTTACAGATACAAAACCACACGCGTTTTATTGAATATCTACTCTGTTATTAGTCTAAAATTAACCTTTACATATTTTTATCGTTGAAGATAATATGACCCTAACGGAGCTGCAATTGGCAGTAGGTTGCCTTTTTTCCATTAAAACGTCACATCTTCATTCTTATTGTGGACTGATCGAATAAGGAGATAAAGAGTAAAATATATATATAAATATGATATGGACGAGAACAGGGTCAGTATTCATGAAACCATTCTCATGCTCACGCATAGATTTTGTGCAGTTTCATGAATACGGGCACTGATGAAGATACTCTTTTGTTATGAAGAGTGAGGTGTGCATTGATACGTTGAGAAGGAGAATACCCAAGCCGTGAACCTACGAACTGGAAGTGGCGAATCCTATCATCATAACGTTGACTATGCTGAACAGGAAAGAGAATGGCTGCTTCCTGGTGAGAAGGCTGTAAGCAATGGGAACCAGGAGGAGACTAACAATCAAGAGAGACACTATGACTGTGGCCGCGTACACACCAAGTCGGCGGAAGTCCTCCTGAATGTTGTCGGTTCCCGCTATTGTTTTAGCAATTAAACTGGCCACTCCAAAAGGTGTCGATCTGAAAAAAAATCAAAAATCTTTAAAATCCGATGGAGTTGTTATTGTGACGCCATGTAATGATAATATGACGTCATAACGAAAGCAATGTGAATGATTAGAAAATATGTCATATCTGCAATATAAAGGTTTGAATCAGAAATCAACAAAATTTCGGTGGAGTTGTCTTTGAGATTGATACTTATTACATGGTCAACATAAAAAATTCCTATATTGGAAAGTAACTGAAAGACGACTCTGTATAAGCCCCCCCCCCCCCCCCCCCCCCAAAAAAAAAAAAAAAAAAAAAACGAAAACAAAACAAACAAACAAAATCTCTCCTATTATTTATTTTTTCCTTGCATAACATTGCTTACATGTTTGTGGGTTAAAATTTACCGTATAATCCATTTTAATATTTGCATGATGACGTCAGTAGCGGAGGTGAAGAAAGCGCCAAACGGCATACCGGCTTCTCGCACTGCTCCAGTAGCTACACCAAACAGCATACTGCCGACAATAAGACCTGGAAGTATACACCTATATCGTATTGTCTCATTCTTTTTTCGATATTCTTTCATAATGTGAAGCTAACATCAAATCACTTAAAGTCTCGCCGTTTTTTCCATTAGATGTCATGAACTATGACCTTACCGAGAATGTTTGAGGAACCTGCAGAACCGATGTATTTGCCGCTTATCTCTTTAAACTGTCTAGGGATAACCGTTCCGTTCATCGTCATATTTTTAAGGACAGTTTCAATATTGTACTTTGTCTGAGTCTGAAATAAACAGACAAGCATAGGAAATCTTTAAAAATGGTTCGAAACATTTCACATTGAAAACTTACTAAGGAAGTTAGTAACATCTTAATTATACCTAAATATTACAGATTTTCTAATTGGGAAACATAATGAAAATTTTATAGAATTAATCGACATTAACAACGTTTACAGTTGTAATAGCTTCCATTAAACAAAACATGTAACTGTGCATCACACTATATGTATTGTATTGTTTTCAGATGGCCTTAGTTTCCTTCAACTTTATTTCATAAGTCAACGTGCAATCTTATGTTGACCCTAGGTTCATCGCATATGAGTGAAGATTCTGTTGATTAGTCGAATTTTCTGTGTATTTTTATAAGTAGAAAATATACCTTCCGTTTGTAAATCAATTATTATTCTAAAAATAATTTAATATTTTGATCAATTTTGAATCTTAATGTGATGAGAATATACATGAGGGAAAAAAATTTTTAAAAATCTGTCCTTGACCTCTGAAGTTTACCTCTGACCTTGACTTGCAGTTAGGTGACTTCTCATTTGAAATCGATGTATTGACTTTATTAATACATATTAGAATATTTACCACTTAAAACTGAAAAAAAATTATCTTGTCATTGGTATTTTTTCATCCTTGCTCTAATGTTTCTCAAAATATCTATCAGTGTAAATAATCGATAGAATTATATTTTCAGTAACAGCGAGCCCGATTTAAATGCCGCAGTGACTTGATTACATCACAATGATCATCGGCGGTGAGTGATAAAGGCATAAGCTAAGTCTTTCACTGTAAAAATCTTAGCAACTGGGCAAGACTGCATTGAAAATTTCGCAATTATTTCATCTCCGACTTCTAATATTAAGGTGAAATTTACAATGTCTTTGATTATAGAGGTTAGGCTTACTTGTACTATTTCTATCCGCTCAGTGATTAAGACCCAAACGAGGTTGCGATGGAAGAACTAGAACAAATACGGTTTATCTCCCTTTATACACAGACATAAGATACTAATGTTTATTTCGAATATAAACTTAATTTCACTGGTTCTAGAATCAGAATAGAAATCTTACTTAACTAGATTAGTTATTGGAATAGTTGTACACCTGTGTATGGTTACATTGAACCGTTGTATATCAATGAAAATCTCATCCGAAAAGTTATAGATATTGATACGTTACCTGTTGAAAGGTCGCTTGTATCAAATTATCTGGAAACAGATTCCTAGATTAAAGAGAAATCAAACAGAACGTTAAAAAAGAGAAAGAGATAGAGTTAATAAAATTGCAAAGATATTTGACAAAGAAATATCTTAGTTCAATATTACAAAAGTGAAATGTTGCACTGAGATATATATACTTAACCAGTAATAAGGATGTACTGAATCTAGTGCGAACGATATACATTAAAACATATCATATTAACATGTTTTATAAAAATGAGTTTTAACTTACGCTATGACGTCATAAAGGAAGCATATTGATAATCAATTAGTGCTTTGAAAATACCTCAACAGGTCTGCAAATATGTCTTGCGTCTCCATGGGAACTGTGTCTAACTGCCTATTTGATCCCGAATTGGATAGACCAACACCTGTAAGGTAAGTTAAAACCATATCATTAATGCCATTGATTAACTTACCCTGTTTTAAAGGATGACATATCAACATTGTATCATACCAAATTAGGGAAAGACTGAGAATAGTAAAGTAAAAGAAGAATAAGCTATTTGATAATCTGAACAATTTTCCGCACTATTTGATATAAATTTCGGTGACAGACGGATGAGGATTTTTCGTAATATAGCATTACTGACTTCTTTTGCCTCCTGTTGTATAACTTTACAATATCTCTAGTCGCCAGAATGCGATATTAATTTGCAATTAATGTCAAGAACAAAATACTTAATATTTCCCTCTCTTTGACGATATCATTTCACAATATTTTGTTGTCATGATTTTACAGACAAAGGAATGGGACAACAGATATTGTCTTATTGATCATGGCAAGAAAACCACTTCAACATGTTGTTACTAATGCCATATTTTTTTTTCAATTTATAAATTAGACCGCCATGCAATTTCATTTCCCAGCAAATGTTTTACTTATATCTCAAAATTCATTCTTTCTTCTTTATCTTTTTCCAAACGTTTTACAACTTTATCATATATATATATGGAATCCTTTGGTAAGAAACCGGATTTATTCGCAGAAACCATATTGTATCTAGAGAGGTAGTTAAAACATATATCAAAAAACAAATTTATGATTTCTTGCGGAGATAGGAGTGTCAGAGATAAGTCTATAGTTGGATGAATCACTTTGTTCACTGTTCTTCCTGTATATAGGTGTATAATGAATATTGTCCATAAGACAGGGAATTTCCCGTCGAGATTGATTACAGTGGTAGTAATCTTTCAGATTAATCAATGATATATTTCACCATTCATTAGTCAGTTTCACAATTGTTTTGAATATTCGTTACTGATTTTATAACTAGCCACCATTTTCTTGGAGGAATAGTTGCGTCATTGAGAGAAAATTATAATTTAGATAATTAATTTTCTTTGGCCTCGCGGATTAGGATAATTGCTAGATTTGTGTTCAGCAAGGCATTATTCAGTTTAGCCTTAGCAGGGACGTATAATACGTCCGTGGCCTTAGAATCCTGACGATTTAATATGTCTTATTCTTACTGTTTTATTAGGGACAACAGTTTATATTACGTAAGTAAGAATATGATTCATTTTGTCATTATAACCTTGTAATGGATTATTTCAATCAACTGACAAACAATTTGCTCCATGAAAATTGGCGTTTTAGAAATAAACCAGTTTTTTTTAATAAGCATGCTTCTGGGGGTTTCAGAATTAAAGTCAGTGCTGACGAGGCAGTGCTGAAGACAGAAAAATAGATGCACTGGGGCATTACTGACAAGGTTAATATACTTACTAACCAGAATATCAACTAATGTTAAATATTGGGGATTAATTTTATAATTCATATTTAGACTAAAAGCTTATATGACAATCAGCTCTTGGAATTGTGTAAGCCCTTTGTCAGTATAAAGTGAACATGTCATCAAAGACTACATCATTATAGATCAATCCCAGACCAATGCCGGAGTCCAGGAGGTTATTTATTAGTCCTATTGTCTGTTTTAGTCACATTTTTCATGATGTAATACGTTTTCTAAAACATGACCTCCCAAACCCAAATACATAATATATAATAAACTTTACTAAACTAATATATAAACTTAATCGCATCCCCCAGCGATATTTAACTGACAAAAACGTAAAACCATTTTGATACAAAATCGTCGATAAGTTATTGTTTATCTCATTCTTACAGTTCTCCGGTGAACAAATGTTAACGCAACACTAACATTACCTACCGGCAAACGTTTTCAACCTATGCAAAGTTACATCAGTCCAAGGTACCAACTGACAACCCTTGACAACTCTTGACAACCCAAATTCCAAAGGATTTATCATATTTAACAAAATTCTATGTCACCATCATGATCCCTAACGAAATCAGTTGGCACGTTCACCTTATCCAAAAATATCGAACATTCATAGCGTAAGGCATTAGCTGATCAATATTAATATTCAAACCAGAAGAAGGCTTACTAAGCAAGCGTCAGTAGTGATAGATGTTGTAGCTACGTGTAGATGACATTTGTGTCAAAGTGATTGCATCTGACCCTGAATGTCACGCTTTGATGCGACATTACCTGGTCTGATGATGACGGCCATGATGCAGCCAGTCAGAGCTCCGAGAAAGTTGGTAAAGATTAGGTAGGCAATACACACCATACTGATTTTTCCGTTAGATTTCGGGTCCATTGTGGCTGTCCCTGAAACGAGGATAATAATATTTTTAAAAATGAACCTTAATACTGCCTATCAGAACTATAAGCATCGAAACTAGTATAAACCGAAACGTGAATGTTCTTAATTCTTCATAATGATCCATTTGTAAGCATAAAAATGTGCTACTTCCTTGAGATAATAGGTAGTGGGATGGACTTAGGTTTTAAAATGTATTGTTATATATATATATATATATTCTTAATTATATATGCATGTTACATAATTATGATCAAACATCATAATCATTATTATCATTATTATTAGGTACCTGGTATATTCTTCTCCAAAAAGAGTGAAATAAGCATACAGTGAATAAAAAATTAAATGAAGACTTAAACTTATGAACGATTTTTACGAAGGAAGAAAACGATATGGAATTATTTTGGTACAACGATACTTCAGAAGTCACTTTGGTGCTGTACAGATTAAGAGAGTACAACGATCAACAACCAGTTGAATAATTGTATGAAAATGATACATGAAAGTGAAAGTAGAAATAACTCATCTCACTTTTGTTTTGTTTGTTTGTTTTCATTCCTACAATTATGAATAATCACAAAATCTTATTATAATTCAAACAAAGTAAGTATTGGTTTGCAATCTTTTTCAGGTAACTGTCCTCCTTTTTTAACTACGAACCCGGTAGCAATGTAGTTCACACTTGCATGATTATTGGTTAATATATTCGCGGGTCACGGATCTTTTTTGTGTCCGCTTTTTAAACCAAATTTTAAAAATTGTTTGAATAGTTAAAATGTCTGTGAACCTATCTGTTTTTGTGGCATCCTTATAGTGTACCAAATGTTCTACGTGAACTGTACTAAATAACATCGTAATATAAAGAGACAACACCGCGTGCAGCTTTTCTTCTATCATTTGTTTGTCGTTTTTAGGCTAAACGTACTCAGTACGCATAGCCTATTGCGACGGCCTTTCAGACAAAATTTACCGATCCTGGCCTTCTCATTGGCTGAAATATCGAAAAGAGTTAGAGCCCTCTAGCGGCAATTTTCTGCGTAAATAATGCCGCGATTTTTCAAATCGCTATTTTAAAAGCATCCAAAATTAGGTGTTTTTTTTATAACAATATGATTACTATATATTTCAAAATGTGGTTGAACTATTGATAAATTTTGAACAATATGTTTTACGGAATTCTCGACATGACGTAAGCGTACAGAACACTGTACGTGCGAGTTGGCGCCATGATAAGAAGCTAGTCTGGGGGCTTGGTTTGAATTATCAACTAACAGCACTTATAAACAAACAAAACTTACAAACAGAACATCAATTTTGCTTTAATCCTTGTCGTTGTGGCAAGATCGTCTTAATATATAACATCACTTTACCTCATTAGACGTCACAAAATTGGACTGTACGTCCCACGCACACACCCGTCGATATGACACTTTTTCAGGATTTTCACACCCACCGCCATGACACTTTTTTAAGTTTTTGAAGATAAAAAGTTTGCGCTTCGTAGGCAAGGTACATTTGGTGCTCATGATTTATGAATGATATATTTTAATACTGTACTGATCATGATGTTGACTTTGTTATATAACTTATATTTTTTTACCTTTTAGTTTTATTTGATGAAGGTTGATTGTGCTGATTTCTCAATGTTTGTTAATGTGTATCAAAGTTCCTTGAAATGGAAATATTCCTTCAAACAAAGCGCGTATAAAAAACCCAAAATGTTCATGTTTATAATTATCAATTAACTAAAACGAAATAACATATTTATTCATTTAGCGTGTCATGGTGACATTATCTAATGCATTGGAGATCAGAAATAGTAGTAGCTATAGTGAAAATATTGTAAATTTTGTATATGTATGGAAGTCTGGTTTAATCTCATAGAACTATGCCTTTATAGACATAATTACTGGAAGAAAAGTCTAACCATGATACTTCAAGGAAGATAGGCATGTAAATACATTTCATGTAATTACTTACACCTTTATCTATCTGAAATGCTGTGTACACCTTATCTACTATCCTCAACTACAAATATAATTATAATAAGTAAGGATTATTACTTTGCAATACATTCAAAATAAAGAAGTAGGTATAAAGTCCTTTCGATTTGTTTAAATCCTCATATTGATAGGATAGTAATTGCAACATCTTGGGTATTTCAAAGGTTTTATTTAGTCAACTTCATCATAGAGCTATTTATCATTTGGCTTGTTGGCGATAAATATATGGTTGTGTGTATTTTCTTATTTTTTTTACCTATTTTGATTTATTCACATTATTGTCGTCAAAATTTGAAATAAGAATTAAAGAAGATATAAATTCGCTTAAAATTAAGAAAAATAGCCTCTGGTTCTCTTATTTTAGTAATTTTTGCATTCCAAAGTGTAGGAGTATTGGGAAAGTAATATAGCTTTGCGGTTATTTGTGAACATTTTTCAATACGTTTAGCCTCTCAGTTCTTTCATTCCATTTTGTTGTGATAACTTGCTCTTAGCAGTTACCTTTACATTGCTGATGTCTCGGCATTTCTTCAAATCTATGGTCATGAAATATAGATGTTACATCTACTTATGTATACTTGTATACAGCATTTCACTCTATTGTCAATATTTCAATTTTGACTTTAGATTTATTATGCGTGATTTGAATACGTAAGATGACATCTTATTTCTGGCATATACCTGTGCTTTCAAATCTCAATTTCTTTCCCGAACGTTTTAAGATAGTTCCCGACCATACTGCTTTAGTAGTTCATTTCATCATTATTTATTTATTTATTTTGAGGTTTATCGACAATGGTAAGACATTTGTAATTACAACATACTACTACACACTACATGTTACAATCAAAACCGAACTGTGATTATTTTCATTATCAGAACACAACATAACTAAAAATGATAATTAAAAAACTACATCTTACAACGATATTTACTGCGATTGGGAATGGACATCACAATATATATATATTGCATGGAAGGGCAATATAATCAAGCGATGTTTCAGAACAAAAATGCGTTGAAGGGATACTATTGACGGCTATCAAATTATCAAGCCATGGTGACTTCCGTACCGCTGATTGTGAAATAATAACACATCAATGAATTTAATTACAGGAAACACGGTTTAGAAAAATATAGATACGTACCGCAAATGTGGTGAAATTAAAAAACAACATCCTGGTGCAACATGATCACGTTCTGATATTGAACATTTTCTTGTTTTATCTTGAAAGCGGAAGTACGAATTACCCGCGGGAAACAGAGGGCAGTGAAAGTTCATATGGAAATATTATGTTGTTCCAATAAATACATTCCTTAATTGTACAACGCACTCGATACCCTGATGTCCAGGGCTTTGGTTCAGTTCCAGTCGCTGCCACTTTTCATGCTTCTTTCTATTACTCATTTTGACGTACTCAGACATACCGTCCTCTCTTACATTCTCTCATTTCATCAATGACACACACACACACTCTCTCTCTCTCTCTCTCTCTCTCTCTCTCTCTCTCTCTCTCTCTCTCTCTCTCTCTCTCTCTCTCTCTCTCTCTCTCTCTCTCTCTCTCTCTCTCTCTCTCTCTCTCTCTCTCTCTCTCGCTCTCCGCTTCTTCTTTCATTCCTCCTCTCACGTCTTCGCCGCCAACAACCCACTACTCCATCCCGTTCCATCGCTTTAAAGTAACATGTTTACATATATCTTCATAATATTATTATAAGAATGAACAATGACATTCCGCCAATAACTTCATCGACGTAATATTTGGTGCTGCGAGGCATATATACACATGGTAAAGACAATTATATCACACATATGCTGAACTATGATTGGAATGCTGTGTTGCCGTCCATTACACTGCGTAATAACAAACAAAACCGGTTTTAGATTTCCAATAAAGCTAAATTACTTTGTTTAGTGATTTTTTCAACTCTTGTAATTTAAGTAATGCAGCGATTTACAGTGAAAGGTTTACAATCATCCGGAACTTTTTGTCCGCTTTTTCTAAATTTACTTTGTAATATAGCTAACAATAGGGAACCTCCTGAAAATAAAAAATCAACTTTTTACAGAAAATGTCGAAGGCTCCCAGTTAATACTGCTACACCCTTCCATATGACGCACACGAAGCAATACAAGACACACAGAGACTTCCATTTCTGACAAATCACATCGGAAAAAGGAAATAGATTTTAAAATGGTTATTGGCTATCACTCTCCATATAACAAAGCAAAGAAGATAAGGCTATTGAATTTGTATAAGTTAACATTAAGTTTTTTGTAAGTTTTGATGATGAGAAGTCAAACTGAATAATAGAAATATTATTAATAGGTTTTATTCGCAAAGACTTCAATAAAGGAATTTATTCAATATTTATACCATTTAATCAGAAAATAACTTTCTTGGAATGCATTTATCCGTAAAGAAAATAACTTTCTTGGAATGCATTTATCCGTAAAGAAAATAACTTTCTTGGAATGCATTTATCCGTAAAGAAAATAACTTTCTTGGAATGCATTTATCCGTAAACAACTTCTATCGCGTATAAATATCTCTAGCGAAAATGATGTGATTGATATAGTGGTTACGCAACAAAAAGTTGATTAGGTCGTGTTTCTTCTAATTAAAAAAAATATGTTTGCGAACTTTGGTTACAGTAACATGACCGGAAGTAAAATACCTCTAATGAGTATCCAAAACTGATAATTCCGGATTTTTTTTAGAAATATTGTAATTTATTACAACCTATAACAAGAAAACAACAAATATAGTATATTCATGTCCATTATGACATGTATGATAATTAGATGATAATAAAAGCAATATAGACTATTTTATTCCACGCTTCAATTTATTTAAGTCCGTTAAGCGCCATTCATGTCATGTTCGAATTTTAGCGAGATACGATCCTAAAAGCATTTTATCTCCATATTTATTCAAATATTTTAATACAATAACTTCGAAAAAATGCCACCAAAATTATGCAAGTGTTTGCTATCTCACCAAAAAATAGTGTGATAAAACCGTTTTATCTTAGAGTAACATATAGTGTTCTTGTAGATAAAATACAATGTTGATGGTTGATCTGTTTGACGTATACAATGAACTGTATTCCTCTAATAATATCTTGGGGTTACAATCTATTTACCTGCGATGACAGACGCAATAATCAAAGGAACAATCATCATTTTCAACATCCGGAGATAGAGTTCGCCGATCATCCCTGTAAAAGATATATCACTTATCAAAAATCTATCTCTAAACAGAATTGTCGTACACTGACGATATTTCTCAGTCGGTGGGCAGAACAGGGAATTGCTTGAATTCTCAAGAAGCTGAGATCATAACTCTTGTGTTTTATGTTAATGAAAAAGTGAAAAAAAAAAATTATCGCACGAGATCTAATTGCTTGTTTGCTGGATGAACAGTTATTCCGGCTGTTTGTGTTTCCCAGGAAGCTAAGAAAAAGACCAGTCTGTGCAGAATGACCATTCATAGCAATTAGGGTAGAGTGTCCTGCCAAACGACACTACGTCAACAAAGACTGGTTTGTTTCCCTCAGACTCCTGAGAAACACAATCCACTGCTGGTATAGGGCATCGAACCATGAACCTCGGATCTTCATGTGCGGTTATATTGGTCAACCGTTCCATGAATTATACACTTTGTAATACTTTGTATTGTTTGCTAGCAATATTGATTTTGTAAGTATAAATGAAAATGACAAACGTTTTACACTTACCTAGCCACATCAATTCATCTTCTGTGGGATTCGTTGCTCGAACACCGAAACCTATCGCAAATCCCACAGCTACTCCCAAAAGTGTCGTCACAACAAGTAGATTGTCCTTCACTACAGCCAAACATTTGTCCATTTTGCCCATTTTGTTCTGATTCTCGGATATGCAGTGCTGCTTTACAACTTTGAGGTTGGAACTCCCGGTGATAAGCGCGTCACCTTTTTATAACAAATCGTTTTATGCGTTGTTCTATCTATGACGAAGAAAAAAAATATATACTCAAGTTCGCCCACGCTATTCACATAAATACTTCAATTCAACACTGTTTACTTTTTAACACATCCGTAAATAGCCACACATTACCCGTTTTTGTTGAAGTTATTTGATTACAACCGGCTGTTACGTTATCCTCCAGCGTTTAAGGTCAACAATTATTTGAGCGTTTAATACTGTAAGCTGATACCCTCGCTTTATATAGCAACACATGTTTATTTCTGCAAACCTTATTTAGTAGAAAAGGACAGAAATTGATTCGCTCTATGTAAATCGTAGAGTAATACATTTTTAAGGTCAGTCCAGTTTACACGCAGTATTTTAATGTACTTTAGTCGTCGTTATCATATCGTGGTTATTTTTATAGTCTGCGATAAAGGATTGTTATACCGTAATTTAGCCTAATATAAATAATCTATGTATACTCATAGGTTGCTGTGTGGCTGAAATGTACAAACAGATAAAGCTCGCATGTGCCGGAATTCGTAATTGCGGACAGAGAACTTGCGTACCAAGTTTCATTAATGTGATACCGTATTTGTTTTATGTGTAGCTACATTAGTGTGTACGCGTGCATTTACTGTAACGTACATCTGAGAACACGCACGCGTTCAGCGTTATATGGGATGCACATGTATCTCGTTGGTCAGTCAAAGCATTGATATATGTGGTTTTGAGGAAAATGTCCAAATGAGACGATGTTTGATGATGAACTGAAATCTTGATTAGTTTCAACATGTTTATTGCCAAAAGATAGACAAGGAATAAGGCACAAGTTATTGCAACTTATCAACGCTTTCTCTCAGTACACATTTTTAATGACATTGCAATACTGACAATACAAATATAGCCATTGTTACAATTTTACATCAAAATATCTGGCTGGTTTAATATAGTTGTGCACAAATCTAAACATGTTTAAATTAAGGTCTACATAAAGCTGAAAATTACCAAACAAAAGAATTTCTATATCTAACGCAGCGTTCCACTTATCTATTATGCACTAAATACGTCTTTCGTTTGAGAAGCGGTAATATTCAATAGAGTAGTGCAAGACATTCTCACAGGGATGATCACATTCACAAGATGCATTATCAACGAGGTTAACTCTAGAAAGGTCATGATTAAGGGAACTGCACAGGTGTCAGAGCCCTGTAAATATCTATGGGTTTCGTATGTCTATAACTAACTGGACTATCAGGGGCCCTGTAAGTTCTACAGGTTACGTAAAACTGTAACTGACTGGACTATCGGGCCCCTTGTAAGATCTACGGGCTATGTACGTCTATAACTGACTGGACTATTGGCCCCCCTGTCAGATCTATGGGTTATGTATGTCTGTAACTGACTGGACTATCGGCCCCAAGTAAGATATATGGGTTACGTATGTCTCTAACTGACTGGACTATCGGAGGCCCTGTAAGATCTATGGGTTACGTATGTCTCTAACTGACTGGACTATCGAGGGCCCTGTCAGATCTATAGGTTACGTATGTCTATAACTAACTGTTCTATCGGCCCCCCTCTAAGATCTATGGTTTACGTATGTCTATAACTGACTGGACTATCGAGGGCCCTGTCAGATCTATAGGTTACGTATGTCTATAACTAACTGTTCTATCGGCCCCCCTCTAAGATCTATGGTTTACGTATGTCTATAACTGACTGGACTATCGGGGACCCTGTAAGATCTATGGGTTACGTATGTCTATAACTGACTGGACTATCGGGGCCCTGTAAAATCTATAGGTTACGTATGTCTATAACTTACTGGACTATCGAGGGCCCTGTAAGATCTATGGGTTACGTATTTCTATAATTGACTGGACTATCAGGGGCCCTGTAAGTTCTACAGGTTAGGTATATTTGTAACTGACTGGACTATCGTTGGCCCTGTCAGATCTACGGGCAATGTATGTCTATAACTGACTGGACTATCGGGACCCTGTAAGATCTATGGGTTACGTATGTCTATAACTGACTGGACTATCACGGGCCCTGTAAGATCTACAGGTTACGTATATCTGTAACTCACTGGACTATCAGGCCCCTTGTAAGATCTACGGGCTATGAATGTCTATAACTGACTGGACTATCGGCCCCCCTGTAAGATCTATGGTTTACGTATCTCTGTATCTGACTGGGCTGTCGGGGGCCCTGTAAAATCTATGGGTTACGTATGTCTCTAACTGACTGGACTATCAGGGGCCCTGTAAGATCTATGGGTTATGTATGTCTGTAACTGACTGGACTATCGGCCCCCTGTAAGATCTATGGGTTACGTATGTCTCTAACTGGGTGGACTATCGGGGGCCCTATCAGATCTATGGGTTACGTATGTCTATAACTGACTGGACTATCGGGGGTCCTGTAAGATCTATAGGTTAGGTATGTCTATAACTGACTGGACTATCGGGGGCCCTGTAAGATCTATGGGTTACGTATGTCTATAACTGACTGGACTATCAGGGGCCTGGTAAGTTCTACAGGTTACGTATATCTGCAACTGACTGGACTATCGGACCCCTTGTGAGATCTACGGGCTATGTATGTCTATAACTGACTGGACTATCGGGGCCCTGTAAGATCTATAGGTTACGTATGTCTATAACTCACTGGACTATCGGAGGCCCTGTAAGATCTATGGGTTACGTATGTCTCTAACTGACTGGACTATCGAGGGCTCTGTCAGATCTATAGGTTACGTATGTCTCTAACTAACTGGACTATCGGCCCCCCCTCTAAGATCTATGGTTTACGTATGTCTATAACTGACTGTAATATCGGGGGCCGTGTAAGATCTATGGGTTACGTATGTCTCTAACTGGCTGGATTATCGGTGGCCCTGTAAGATCTATGTGTTACTTATGTCTATAACTGACTGGACTATCAGGCCCCTTGTAAGATCTATGGTTTACCTATCTCTGTATCTGACTGGGCTGTCGGAGGCCCTGTAAGATCTATAGGTTACGTATGTCTCTAACTGACTGGACTATCAGGTGCCCTGTAAGATCTATGGGTTACGTTTATCTGTAACTTACTGGACTATCGGGCCCCTTGTAAGATTTATGGGTTACGTATGTCTATAACTGACTGGACTATCGACCCCCTTGTAAGATCTATGGGTAACGTATGTCTCTAACTGACTGGACTATCAGGGGCCCTGTAAGATCTACAGGTTACGTTTATCTGTAACTTACTGGACTATCGGGCCCCAAGTAAGATCAATGGGTTATGTATGTCTATAACTGACTGGACTATCGGCCCCCTCTGTAAGATCTATGGGTTACGTATGTCTCTAACTGACTGGACTATCGAGGGCCCTGTCAGATCTATAGGTTACGTATGTCTATAACTAACTGGACTATCGGCCCCCCTCTAAGATCTATGGTTTACGTATGTCTATAACTGACTGGAATATCGGGGGCCCTGTAAGATCTATGGGTTACGTATGTCTCTAACTGGCTGGACTATCGGTGGCCCTGTAAGATCTATGTGTTACGTTTATCTGTAACTGACTGGACTATCGGGCCCCTTGTAAGATCTATGGGTTACGTATGTCTATAACTGACTGGACTATCGACCCCCCTGTAAGATCTATGGGTTACGTATGTCTATAACTGACTGGACTATCGGGGCCCTGTAAGATCTATAGGTTACGTATGTCTATAACTGACTGGACTATCGGGGGCCCTGTAAAGATCTATGGGTTACGTATGTCTATAACTGACTGGACTATCATGGGCCCTGTAAGTTTTACAGGTTACCTATATCTGTAACTGACTGGACTATCGGGCCCCTTGTAAGATCTACGGGCTATGTATGTCTATAACTGGCTGGACTATCGGTGGCCCTGTAAGATCTATGTGTTACTTATGTCTATAACTGACTGGACTATCGTGGGCCCTGTAAAGATCTATGGGTTACGTATGTCTATAACTGACTGGACTATCATGGGCCCTGTAAGTTTTACAGGTTACCTATATCTGTAACTGACTGGACTATCGGGCCCCTTGTAAGATCTACGGGCTATGTATGTCTATAACTGACTGGACTATTGGCCCCCCTGTCAGATCTATGGGTTATGTATGTCTGTAACTGACTGGACTATCGGAGGCCCTGTAAGATCTATGGGTTACGTATGTCTCTAACTGACTGGACTATCGAGGGCCCTGTCAGATCTATAGGTTACGTTTGTCTATAACTAACTGGACTATCGGCCCCCCTCTAAGATCTATGGTTTACGTATGTCTATAACTGACTGGACTATCGGGGGCCCTGTAAATATCTATGGGTTACGTATGTCTATAACTGACTGGACTATCAGGGGCCCTGTAAGTTCTACAGGTTATCTATATCTGTAAGTGACTGGACTATCGGGCCCCTTGTAAGATCTACGGGCTATGTATGTCTATAACTGACTGGACTATTGGCCCCCCTGTCAGATCTATGGGTTATGTATGTCTGTAACTGACTGGGCTGTCGGGGGCCCTGTAAGATCTATAGGTTACGTATGTCTCTAACTGACTGGACTATCGGCCCCCCTCTAAGATCTATGGTTTACGTATGTCTATAACTGACTGGACTATCGGCCCCCTGTAAGATCTATGGGTTACGTATGTCTCTAACTGACTGGACTATCGGGGGCCCTGTAAGATCTATGGGTTACGTTTATCTGTAACTTACTGGACTATCGGGCCCCTTGTAAGATCTATGGGTTACGTATGTCTATAACTGACTGGACTATCGACCCCCCTGTAAGATCTATGGGTTACGTATGTCTATAACTGACTGGACTATCGGGGCCCTGTAAGATCTATAGGTTACGTATGTCTATAACTGACTGGACTATCGGGTGTCCTCTAAGATCTATAGGTTACGTATGTCTATAACTAACTGGACTATCGGGGGCCCTGTAAGTTTCTACAGGTTACGTTAATCTGTAACTGACTGGACTATCGGGCCCCTTGTAAGATCTACGGGTTATGTATGTCTATAACTGACTGGACTATCGGGTGCCCTGTAAGATCTATGGTTTACGTATGTCTGTATCTGAC